AAGTCGAAGTGCTCGCTGACTGCGTGAAGCTTGTCGGCGTCGTCGAGAAGCACATGTAGGCCTCGGAAAGATGTAGCTTTCCAGCATAGTGCCATCCCCTATCGTGGTCCGGATCGCCGCGAGCGGAATTTGAGGGCGGGATAGTCAGCTCCGCATTAATCTCGTACAGAGGCGTTTGTGAGGAGGGCAGTCGGAACTGGCTCTGGAACAGGGAGGCTTTGGAGGGATTCCGGTCCGAGTTGGAGAGGTTCAGTCCCTGGGTGGGATCGATGAGCTGCTGAGCTCTCTGGACGATGTTGGTCAAGTTGGAGAACATGGTTTCGACGAGATTCAAGGGCGCATGACGGTGTTATGATGGCGATGACTGCAACCCAGGCGACAGCAGAGAGGCCGGCCGTCGGATGGCTAGAAGAGCCGCTGATGAGCTGGCTGTTTGCTGTCGTCGGGCTGCCGGGATTAGGCCGTCGCGAAGGGGGGGAAGGAGGCGGCAGAGAGTCGTGGAGGACGGTGGCGAAGCTCGCACAGAAGCGGGAGGGCGGGTAAATGCTGCAGACGTCGTGGAGAGCGTCGTTTGGCGTGGACGTTGCTGGCAACGTCGGGATGCTGAGCGAGCTTCGAGGTCTGGTGGTGAAGACGGAGTGCAGTCAGTGACGGCAAGTGTCCAGGCTGCCGTTGGGGCTAGCGGCCGTGGCAGCGCTGGCGTTCGCGGGGCTCGCCCTTACGAGAGCTACGGGTACTGGTTCAGCCCGCCAACCAGCGAGTCTGCCTTAGCTGCAGGGCTGCATTCCACCAGCCAACCAGCGCGCCGCGGAGCCCATGACGCCTGGCAGGTCCGCTGATCCGGCACGTACAGGGGAGTCATTCATGCCCATCTCGGCACCTGGGCGCACTGCTCGTGCTCTAAAGTTCGAGATTGTTTTAACCTCCAGGGTTACCAGACTAAGGTCTGGTACTTATGGTAGTACGTGTACCTGCTAATAGCAGCACCTGCCTCGAGGTACGTGAGGTAGGTCAGCAAGGGGCCAGGGGTCGGTGAGATCAAGACGCCGTTCACAAGTCTTCAATCCTAGCAGTACCTGGATTTGTCTGACACCTGAGAGTTACGGTACGGGGCACTCGCCCGCCAAGTACTGTCTGAGAAGTATTAGGCCGTTTTATATGCCAAAGTCGCCCCTGTTTGACCAGCCCGTGACCATCTCTTGTAGTGATCAATGCGCTAGGGCAGAGAGACGAAAGGAAAATGCATGTTGGAAATTCAAGATTGACAGCTCGGCAAAATAGAAGAAGATAAATTGTATAAGAAAAAGAGATATAATACCTAAGGCCTGGCATAGAGATGATGGCAAGGTAGACTAATAGTCATTGACTCCATCTATGATGTGTAGGTCAATCTCTATCAGATGCCGCAGGGTCCGTGGACAATTCTCGTGCTAGCATCCACATACTGCATGGCCTTTTATTGGCTGCGGGCTAATGCGCGCTGAGAGTGTGCCGTTGCATCCCTAAATCGCAGTGCCCGCCGAAGCTGTCAAAAGCCGATGACTTACATGCAGCCTGCATGACATCTCTGGGAATGGCAGGCAATACCCAGCACATGGGTACATGATGTAAGGAATTGCTATGTCAAGAGAGAATTATGAATTAGCCTGATGCACAAGGCAAAACATTTATATCGGAGCTGGTCTTGGCGATTCAACAATAGCCGATGGTGCCATGCATGTCTTTGCACACTTCAATTTATCCCATCATTGATCACCATCGCCCTGATGTCATGTACCGGCCTGCATATAAGTGCCTCTCGTGTAAGTGCGTGTAAGTGCCAAGCCACAGCAAGAAAAGAACCTCCCATTCATAACCGGCATACGGAACGAAGCTGTACTGCACTCAATTGACCACGGCACGCCATTGACTGCCACATCCACCCAGCAGGAGCCACAAAGTCCGCAATGCCATCAACTCCAGACAAAACAAGGCCTCAGCACCGGTCCCTCGCTTTCCGAACGGATTCCCTCTTGCGCTGCTAGCGTGCCCCTTGGAGCATCGCCAGCACCTGCTAGGGTCTCACTGGTCAAACTGCCCAGTCGCTGCTCGCCTGTTGCGTCATAAGAGCCCCTCCGGCTCTCCACGAACTACCTGCGGTGGTAGCACAAGAGAGATATCAGCCTCAGCTTGCCTCTTATCGCCTGGCTCTTTTTTTCCCACTTGGACTCGTCCAATAGCTGAACCGCCAAGAAGCAATTGAGTAATACAAATCAACACTGACAGCCTGACTCTGTCTCTGGTCTCCTTCTCCTCGCCCATCGCAAAACAATCGTCGCAAAAGAAAAGAAAGGCGCTCTCCCCGTATAAAAAAAGACATCTTCTTCATCAGCGCGCCGAGTCAAGCAATCGATCCAATCCTCTTCCTGCCAGCATCCTCCCGGATTCCTTTCGCCGGATCTCTCCGCCTCTGCTCTCGCCATGCTTCGACTGAACCAATAGCCGACATCTCCCTCGCGCTTTTTCCTTTGTGTCGCCTTTCACAAATAAAGCGCCCGGCCGACCTGTGTGCGCGCGCGCGCATCTCTCGCTTGCTCCTCCATCTCTCTTTGAAACTTTTTTTTTTCCTTAATTTATCGTCTTCCCTCTTTATATGCCTACACTCTACGAGGCCATGGACATACCCTGATTTTGTATCCGCCGACAAACTCATCAATCCAACGCCAACAACGCGTACGGCTGGCTTCATCACCATCACACTTTTTTCGCATCCCCGAGCGTCGCAAATGGCCGTGACAGTTGCTGAAACGCAGCCGGCCACTCCTGCGTTATCAGCCGGCATGGCCTCGTCTCACCAGCTCCACCAACCCGGCAGCGCTCCTAAGCCTCTGCCGCCGACTCGCACGTTCAAAATCTCCGATTTCACGCGGGTGCGGACTCTGGGAACAGGTTCGTTTCACCTCGTGCATCCTTGAATCGCCCCATTCTCCAGCAGCAAGCAGACAAACAAACCGGCCCTGGTAAAAGAATTTTCTTACTAAATATACACTTCTTCTTCTTCCTTATAGGGACATTTGCTCGAGTGTGTCTCGTCCGCCCTGCCAGCGCCACTGTGCCTCTGGAAGAGGACAAGAACGCAGAAGTCTACGCTCTCAAGATCCTCAAAAAGACAGAGGTTATCAAGCTGAAACAAATCGATCACGTGCGTCACGAAAGAGCAGTTCTTGCAGATGTGGCAGGCCATCCCTTCATCACCAATTTACAAGCTTCTTTTTCCGACAGAGATCGTTTGTACCTGGTTCTCGACTATGTCCCCGGCGGCGAGATTTTCAGTTACCTGCGCAAATATCGCCGGTTCGATGAACATATTGCCCGTTTCTACGCCGCCGAGATCGTCCTTGTGCTGGAGTACTTGCACGAGAAACAGGGCGGCGTCGCTTACCGAGACCTCAAACCGGAAAACTTGCTGTTAGACAAGGACGGGCACATCAAACTGGCCGATTTTGGCTTTGCGAAAAGGCTAGGCTATAAAGATGATAGACCTGTCGAAACATACACGTTGTGCGGGACGCCCGAATATCTTGCGCCAGAAGTAATACATAACAAGGGCCATACAACGGCAGTGGACTGGTGGGCGCTGGGCATCCTGATATACGAATTTCTGACGGGCTACCCTCCTTTCTGGCACCAGAATCCTATCGAGATTTACAAGCAGTAAGTTGAACGATTTTCGGTCATCATAACATATATCATATTTGCGCCAGCTAGTTGCTAATACTACAAACATTTAGGATTGTTGAGAAACCCGTCGTCTTCCCCCAAGAACCACAAATCTCAGACGAGGCCAAAGACATAATCAAGTCATTTTGTACAATCGACCGCTCCAGACGCCTCGGTAATATCAGCGGCGGGGCCGGCCGCGTCAAAGCCCACCCCTTTTTCAACGGAGTCAACTGGGAGGATCTGCTCAGTCGCCGCCAGCCCGGCCCGATTATCCCCTCCATTCGATATCCCGGCGACGCCCAGTGTTTCGACATGTACCCCGAGGACGACGGCAAGGGCGATGTTTACACGGCCGAGTTGGCCAATAAATACGACCAATATTTTGAAGATTTTTAACAGAAAGACACTAATAAGCTATATATACCTTTTTTTTTTTTTGGCTTATGCTTAATAATTTTTTTTTTTAAGGAAAGGGCGGGAAAAGGAGAAGAGAGCGTTAATGTCTTTTACCTGTCTGTGTATAAGAGTGTATGAGAGTTTATGAGAGTGTATGAAAGAGAAAGAGTTTTGCGCGTCTGCTTCGAGGGCCTTTGTTAGGATTATCTGGCGAGAGCGAGGATTGCTGTAGGTAATACTCTTTTTTTATTTGTTTTCTTTGTCGCAATTCACCAGTGATGAATCGCATTATGCGCACAAAGTGCTCAGACATCTCGGTTATACTAAGTTCTTTTTCTTTTATTGTTGCGCACAGTCTTTTGTTTTTCAATACCTTGAAACATATAACGAATGGGCGGGTTGGGTTTTCGTATGCGTGTGCATGGTCATCAGAGGAAAGGGGGGAGGTGGGATTAAGGAAAAGGAATGAAAGGCTGGTTGTTTCTCCTGCTTTTTGGAAAGGCTGTGTTTATCAAGTTATTTCCACGGCATGAAGGTATGTTTAGTCGCTATATGCACTTTGACGCGTCATGACCGAGACGATGTCGTTGTCTTATCAACAGGTGTATTAGGTAGTGGTTCATAATTAATGTAGTAGGTAAGGTAGCCACAACGAATAATGATAGCAAAAACACTCATACAAACATATACCCTCAACATCTCTGACCAATCCATAACTATGTTTCTAAGAAGCCTCTCAAATAACTCTCCATCGCACGAAAAGCAACAAGTAACGCCAGCTCTCTCAAATAATTAGGTTCAACTTCCACATCCAAGTATCCCATGATAAGCTGCACAAGTAGACAGAATGCAATATAAAAGCCCAGGTAAACTTTCAGGCGGTCATTTCCACCGCCATCGCCCTATGCTGAACGGTAGAGCCAGTACCCGCCCAGACTCGCCACCAGCACAGTCGACAGGATATACGCCCCCTGTCTCGTGCTCCAGAAAAACATTGTCCACCCAGCCGCAATCTCGCGCCGCCGTGCAGCGACCCGCCGCTCCCAGGCCTCCGGATCAATCTCCACAGGCAGACGGACTCTGGGATCGAACGCGTTGGCGCCACCGGGGGATCCAGACCCGGCGGTGGCAGAGTCTAGCACCGTCGCCGGAGGGGCGAGATCGGCTGGTGCCACGAGGGGCACGTCGACTCTGAGGAATACAGGGCGGTGGTCGCTCGTGCGAATCACGGGTAGGGCGTCATACGCGCGGACATTCATGTTGCCGCCAATCCAGGACGGAAGCTCGAGGAAGAGGATGCGGTCCGTCCAGCCGGGATATCGGTGCGGAGCAAATTCCCACTTCACTTCGTCGATGGGATTGCCGGCCTCGCTGGAAGGCCTCGTCTTGGAGTCGACGACATACTTGTACGTCGGTGGGAATTTGATCTCGTGCTCTGACAAGCCATGGAGGGTCCTGCCGGCGAGTCTTTCCCTCGTCAGCTGATCTAGATGCAAGAAGTGCGTGTAGTAATTTTCTGATCCTGGTTCCAGATTAGGAAACGCAGAATAAGGAGTCGGCGAGGTGGTCGAAATGCGGTAGTTGAGATCCCCCGCAACAAACAGGTGAGAAGATGGCTTGAAGACGGACAGATCGTGAAACTGCCTCTGCAACCGAAGATCATGCTGGTGCTGCTCCTCCCGAAGCAGACGAGAGTGCTCAGAGGCATCCCCCTCCTCAGACGAAATGCTCTCGCCTCTCGACTCAGCATCTCTCCTCATCTGGCTCAGCACCTCCTCCGGGTTCTCAAACGTCAAGCCTCGCATGATGGCCCCCCAGTTGGCGTTCCTCCGCGGCAGATTCCATTCCATGGCAGCCAGATGCGTCGCCACAAACGTCAGCTCCGTCGACTCCCCGCCAATCTCATAGAGCGCTCGAAGACCAACCGCTCCCTTGTTGCCCATCTCAGCAGCGCCGAATCCTACCTCGGCCTCTTGAATATCCTTGAGGCGGGTGGCATCCCGGGCAAATAGCATAATGGCGGTGTATCCCACGTTGAGGGACCTGATTAGCGTAAAGGGTTTCTTTGTGCGACTTGAAGGGGACGAAGGTGAAGCAGCAGCAGAGGAATCAGAACCCAAGACGTCATCACTGCCTTGTTCATTGCTCAAATGTAATGAAACCGCAAGGTTTACCGCCTCCTCAAAGCGGTCCACATACGGCTTCAGAAAGTAATCTCCGCCAATGAAGGCATAGCTTAGAGGAGCAATTTCTTGTAACGAGCTTCATGGAAAAGAAGAAGAAATTGTAAGCACTTGAATGTGGCATATAAAAATGTAATTATGTATTGTAAACGGGTCATCAAAAAAAAGAAGATCTGTACAACTTACAGAACAACCACCTCAGGCAGTTCCGAGGCATTCCGCGCCAGCGCAGTCTGCAAATGGCCAGCAAACACCGGCACGTCAATGAGCGTCGCCGCGCAATTAAACGACAGTACCAGCAGATCCAGCGCCGAGCCCGTCTTCATTGTATGTCTCTGCACCAGCACTCCGTCGTCGTCGCTTGGGTGGTCAGCGGCTGCCGTCGTCGCCCTGCCGCCAGCCATTATAATCCTTCTCCCACCTTATAAAGAAAGGAAAAAAGGGGATATTTATCCGGATTTTACCCCCCTGGGACAAAAGAGAGACAACTGCAGCAACGGCAGAAGGAACGAATGGTGTACAAGTGACTGGAGTTGAGAGTGATTGGAGAGCTGCAAATGCAGGTTTCGGCTAAAGAAATGTCGATGGGTATATTATTGGCGTATTATTGGCCGCGGTAGCGTACTTTTTGGCGCGGAAACCTCAGCTTATCCACAAAATACTGCAGGAGCGAGGAGAGCAGATGCGATTGGACTTTGCAAGCTGCAGCTCCTGCGATATGCAGACACAGCCTCCATATATAGTGTCTGGCATCTGGTATTTTTCAAGCTCGTGTCCAGCTAGGTATGCCCGCCTACATGGATCTTACCCATCTCACCTGCCTGCCACCTGAACAGTGGATGAATAGCAGCAACTCCAACTGCTGTAGGTCTAGCAGCAGGCACTCTGATGTGGCTGAGGTGCCGGTACATGGCCCAACAGCCGGTCATGCAGCCATCGCCAGGGTTCTACGCGGCAAGTGTGCAAATCAAGGGCCAGCCTGTCCTGCTTCCAGCGGTGTTCCGGTCAGCTGCGGGCTGTGCAGGTGCGACCACGACTGGCCGCCGCCACTATCGCGCCGGTACTTGTACTAGCACTCCATGGGGCTCAGGCCGGCAAGGGAACATGTGATCATGGTCTCGTGCGACTCCTCTGGGCTCACGCACGCGACTGCAGAGCTCGATGCTCCGTCCTACGATGAGATAATGACACCATGACACGGCATAAATAAAAGAGTTGAAAGTGCATCCATGTTGTAAGGAAAAAAAGACAAAATTCAAATTGATTGCAAACTATTTGACCTACTGGCTGAGTTGGTTATGACGACCTTGGAATCCTTTGGTCCTGCAATGATGGAGCCTTGAACATGTACCCGCCGCTTGCGCATATCAGATGTCTTGCAGATGCGACAAGTCGACAGAAGCCAAGTACTAATGCAGAGCCAGCCAAAGAGTTTGTCAGATGCCGTGGCGTTGATCCGTACTACCGCATAGTGAAGCCATAGTAGTGATATCCTCCTGATACAACTCTTTTGACCGTAGGCCATTTCACTCATGATAGTTGTCTTGCTAATAGTGAAAGCCAATTCCAAGTGTCGCATCAAGCTTGCTGCCACCGCCATCCAAGCCCCTGTGTGCCGAAAAAAGCAAACTTCACAGATAGCCTCCACTACCAAAAAGGCAAATGTCGGTTTCACTGTACCAAGAGATTGGCCTCTTCCACGTTCAATCCCATCGACATCCCCGGAAGCTGCCCTTCGATACATCGGCCTGAAATATGAAAACAAAATTGGGAACCAAGAAGCTGGAAAGTAGGATGCGCAATATTAATGATCAAAGAAAGATAGGAGAAAGCCCATTGACTGAGACGCAGCTGTACCGCAACGACTGAACTTTGAGGGCCATGGTAAAAATAAAGTTTGCCAAGAACCATGAGCCCAAGTTTTGCATCCTAAGCTCTCAAACTAGCCAAGGCTTGTACGGCCAATCTCTAACCCCTTTGGTGAGCCATTAAAGACTACCCAGTTGGATGTAAAGATTGCTTAAAAAAGAAAGAGTCCAATAATCGAATGCAATCGGACGTGCCGTTCAGATTAACCTCCCAATAACAGATAGCAGTTTAGGTAGAGCACCGAAGAGCTCCAGCCAGAAAACACTATCCTGTCACTTGAAGTAATCCAAGCCAAGCGTCAAGTCGTTAATATAAGATGCGTCGAAGAACAAGATAAAGCGATGCGTATAGGGCAAATGAAAATGGGGAACACGAAAAAGGGTGGAAATGCATGGGGAGGAACTGAAAGCCACAACGATCGACGACATGCTTTGCCCAACTGAGGTCGCCACTGGACGACTAATGCGAGCTTGTTGCGTGTCTAGAAATGTCGATTGGAGAGGGGTTTTTTCGCAGCAGCCCGCCATCCCTTTTGCTCAAATCCCACCACAAGAGAGTTGATCAAGAAACGAAAAAGCCAGGGACACTATCTTCAATTTGGCCGATAGCTACCAGAGGCATATCCCGCTCCCTTTGAAGCAGAGCGAAGCCTGTTTAGCGTCCACTGAGTCAGCAATAATTGTCAGCAAAATTCCCTTTGGCTAGTGCTATGAAGAATAATACGACTCACGCAGAGGGAGAAGGACTCCTTACGAGCTGTACCGAACTAGGGGGAAAAAAAACTCACATCCTATCGCTTCCACCGATGGCGCGGCTGGTATCGGGGGTATCAACGCCAGCGCCAGAACCTCGCTCAAGCATCTTGCGTCGAGAGCTGGGGACGGCGCCAGGCTTGGCGGCGGCAGAAGGTCCGGCAACAGCGGGGTTCATGCGAGAAGCACGAGCCTTTTCGTCATCCTCAGGGTTGGCCTGACCAGCAGCCTGGGCAATAGCCTGAGCATTCTTCTGGTACTTGTAGACAGTCCAGTCGAAGACGTAATCATATTGGAAGCCCTCGCGAACAAAGAGATCACGGAAGATCTTGCGGAGATAGCTGTAGTCGGGTTTGTCGTCGAAGCGCAGAGATCGAGTGTAGTTGAGATAGATGGCGAACTCGTTGGGGAATCCGCGGCAAAGGACCTCAGTAGGGGTGGTCATCTTCTTCTCCATAATACGATCGTACTTCTGCTTCTTAGTGGCAGCCTTAAGACCCTGCCAAGGAAGAGAGCCGCGGCAGAAGTAGAGCATAACATAGCCCAGCGACTCCATGTCGTCACGGCGAGACTGCTCGACACCAAGATGGGTGTTGATGGAGGCATAACGGGCAGTACCAGTCAAGTTCTTGTTCTCTCGGTAGGGGATGTGGAAGTGGGTCTTGGGATCACGGTACTTCTTGGCAAGACCAAAATCGATAACGTTGACCTGGTTTCCGCGCTTACCGATACCCATGAGGAAATTGTCGGGCTTGATATCTCGGTGGATAAAGGATTTGGCGTGGATGTACTCAATACGAGAAATGAGCTGATCAGCAAGGAGAAGGACGGTCTTTAGGGAGAATTTGCGGTTGCAGAAGTTGAAGAGGTCTTCCAAGCTGGGGCCAAGAAGGTCGAGGACCATGGCGTTGTAGTCACACTCGGTACCAAACCAGCGGACAAAGGGAATGCCAACGCCACCGGCAAGTGACTTGTAGACACGAGCCTCATATTCAAGCTGGGGGTGCTTAGCCTTGACAGACTCAAGCTTGATGGCAATCTCCTCTCCAGAAATGATGTTTGTTCCAAGGTAGATGTCGCCAAAGGAACCGGAGCCGATCTTGCGGCCAATCCGGTATTTATTACCGACGCGAAGATCCTAAATAGCACATTGTTAGCCATTAACTGATCTGAAAGAAGGCAACAAGTCAGGTTGTGCATGGCGCTGGGGGCTGCTTTATTCCCAAGAGGCTTCAGCTGAGCAGCGGTGTAATTAAATCGGGATAGCTGACCAGTGCACTGGCCAGTGGTTCTCGAGACAGAACCGTGCCCCAAAATTCAATAACACCCTGGGAGAGGAAAAGAGCGGCAGAAAGAAGATGGAAAGAAAAGGATGCTTACCATGGTCGTCATGATGAAGGTTACTAATTAAATGCTTCTTTCCGCGCGGGAAGGAAGCAATTTCGTCGATTTATGGAGTATCGGAACCGGTAAATCTGCAAATTCTGTTGATGCGTTAATAACGGACTGCCGTGATGAATATTATGCAGATGAAAGACGACAGGGTTGTGTTGTGATGGATAAAAGTTTGAAGAGAGAAGGAGAAAGGTCGGAAATGTTGAATGGGTGATGAAATGGTTAGCAAGGGAGTGGGCCTAGGGGCATGTTGAAGGGCGGTGGCTACGCCGCCACCAGCGAAATCCGGTAATAGGCCGAAGCATGACAAAGAGCCTAAAAGGTTTGCTCCCAGAAAGGAGAACAACGGCAGACGACAGGCCAGGCACTGAAAAAATGGGGAAATAGAGCAGCAAGAGAAGTGGCATGGATCAGAGGCTGTTTGACGTTGATTCTTAGTATCCAACTAACCTGCAGAGACGAGTTCGTAGCGAGGGTTTGGTAGGGCGTGGTGGGAAATTCCCGGTTCGAGATGTCGGTGACGAAGTAGCGCGAAGGGATGCCCAACCTAAGGTGCAAGAAGGAGAAAGAGAGAGAAAACAAAGCCCCCAAGATATTATTGCAAATCGAAACTGCTGCGGCGGGGCCGAGGCGATGGACGAATCGAGAAATGCGATGATGCTGGAAAGCAGAGATGCGGTGATGGGCCGATTAAGGCGCGAAGCTCTCGTCGGGCGGGAGGCGAAGGATGTCGTGGAGAGAAAGAAAGGAAGAGGGAAAAAAAAGCGGAGGGAGGAAGAAGAAAGGGGAGCTGCGTGAGCAGCGGCACTTTTTCAAGGGCGCCTGAGCTGTGCGCGGCAGACCTGTGCTGTGGCGCGCGCGCTGCTGTCTGGGCGCTGTAGCTGGGCGCTTGGCGCTGGGCGGCACTGCTACTGGGCCTGTGGGTAGTGGGCAGAGCGCTGTGAGCGAGTAGCATTGCGTCGGGTGCTACCGACCACTAATCCAATTGGCCCCATGCCGCTCCGTAGATGGAAGCCCGTACTGTACCAGGCAGGCAAGCATATCGCAAGGCGAGGCAGGACTGCTTGGCAGATTACTTGGTGCCTACTAGGTATCAAGTACCTAAGGTATGTAGATTCTGCTACAAGATATACACAAGATACTATCATTGCCTCTCATAAAGATTTACGGGGAGGCATTTGATGTCTCAAGGTTCAACGCTGGGCGCATTTGCACTGCGGTACTCGGTGCTGCGGCTGCAGGCGGAACGTAGCGATAAAGCACTCAACGGCCTTGGTACTGCCTACTGCAGCGGCTGAGTGCATTGAGCACGAGGCACTACCGCCAATCCAAGGTGCTTGAACTGCGCCAAGTTGATACGAGCCTAAATGGTATTGCCCCAATATCTACAAACTACCTACAGTTTGTTGCGAGCAGCAGCACAGCACACGGCCCTCGCTTTTGTCTTTGTTTTTTTATTTCTCACTTAAAACTGGGTCAATCCGCAAACCACGTATCGGATTGACTTTCGTGTTCCAACCGCTGCTCGTCGTTTGAAGCCCCTCTTCCCTCTTCCCCCCGTCGTTGCAGCCCAGTTCAACCCAAGTGTGGAGCTGCGCAGTCGCTTAGGTGCAGTTGCAGTGAGCCGCGTCGGAATTTGGGAAGCAAACAGCACAGCACAGCACGCAACTGAGGAGGCGGAGCTAATTGGAAAAAAGAAACAGCACGGAGCAGCAGATGGGTGTTGATCCGGCCGAAATCTCTCGAGCCCAGATGGACGATGGTGTGAGATACAGCCAAGACCGGGTGAAGCACAACGGCGCTAGAAGCCGCGATGCTCTGGGGCCGTGGCATCGAGATTGGAACAAACAAGTCAACAAAGGGACCAAAAAGGCTTTCAGCATATTGCTCTACACAATCCATGCGAGAGGCGCCCTCAGCCGCGTCAAGCTGGGCCGGCCATTGATCAGGGCTCTCGACTGCGTGACGGGCCACAAGGGCCAGGCCAGGCCAGGCCAGACCAGGGTGCGGCTCACCGAGATGCCTCATTTACCGCCCTGCATATGGACCACTGGGCGACAGCGTGCCAGAGGATGCAGCGCTGACGTGCGCTGGCGATGAACTGGCTATTATGCCTCGAAATGTGGCAAGCCGTCAGAGCTTGTGCTGGATTGCGACCTCATCTCGGAATACGAGAATGCTGGCCGAAAAGGCACAATTCGTTGCATTCTATGGACGATCGGATATCGCCGCGATTATCAGTACTATTGCCATTACTGTCACTGTTGCTTTTTCCCGTCTACCGGACGCATGCTTTTGGCCATATCTCACGAGCAATGATACCAAATCAAACACCAATGCATGGTAATATTGCACAGTACCACAACGCACAGTTGGCGGCTCCCCTTGAAACGCTGCTGGCAATAATCCAACCCCATGCCAAAAGTCAAAAGCCAACCCAAGCTTTACAGATGCTGCTCACTCAGCGCTTGCTTACCTAGGTACCTGGCCAGGACGGCACTTCGCTTAGGGCATCTCCCCCGTTACTCCGTTCCGTAGCGAGGCAAAACCAGCAAATGAAACTGGGAATAGAAAAATCCTGCCTGATGCAAAAGCCCTAGAGCCTCACTCACCCAAGCTGCAAATTCCCTCAGGAAGACGCCACCCATGCGCCCTCACCTGACCACCTTTGACATGCGAAGCCAGATCGGCGGCTGGCCAAACTCCTGGGGTAGCCCAGACAGGTCCCGAGCGCCCTTCACTCAGTAAAAAAGTCCCTCCAACTGCGCCCTTTGTCATAACAAAGTCGGTGTGACCGGCCGGTAATCTGAGCCTTTCTCTCAGCTCAGTAAAGTAAAGTGAAAACTTTTTTTAACATGTCCGCCCTTTGCCAAAGCTCGCCAACTCCGAGCTGAAACGTTGTCTTTGTGAGGCCGCATACAGGTCTGACTGGTGGTGTATATGCACGTAGATTGCAGTGGACTCATGATGGATGTACTTCCTTACGCCCTTTTGAGCACTCAGCTCAATCGCCAATATAAGAGAAATGAACCATGATCCGGAGAAATCTACGCGGGTTTCCTCTTTTCGGGCTCGGGCGATTCTGCATGTTAACTGCTAAGCCGCTTGTAGAGCACGATTCAGGGATGTTAGTCCTCCCACCCTGAGGTCATGTCGTCCGTTGAGGCGACCCTGGATCAAGCTTCGGTATTAGCGAGCGATTTGGAGAGGACGATGAAAAAGTCTCCGGAATTAGGTCCATGCGGCGTATTCGATCCCTTATACTGCGTATCACCAAGTGCTAATGCCGAGATTCTCACGTTGAAATCATCAACTGCAAACGTCTCTTGTATTCACTGAGAGACAAAGTTACCGTTCATGTACACTAGAATGTCAATTCAGCTTCCCCCTCATACTTCTCCTCTTTCCGTTCCTTTATCAACTTACCCTCTTCGCATTCTGATCTATCAAATTTTGGAGTCGCAAACCGTCGGGCCGCCAGCACCAGCGGCTACTTAGTCGCTAGACCGTTCTCCGCAATGGCCGAAAATAGATCAATTCCATATTTCTCCACATGGATCACCTAAGCCCGTTGGACCAAAACCTCGTCGTCCATACCAAAGTAGAGTACAGTGCAGAAATACAGTGGCAATACTAGAAGCATTGTATCACAAGACATCAAACGCACAGATACACATATGCAGGAGGGGTCATTTGCTGAAAGCTCGCCCATAGCTCCCCAAAGACTGGGAAAAAGTGGCGAAAAGCAAAAAGAAGTGACTGGGTGTTCGGAGTACGGGTAGCTACACTGCATCGTGCTCATCTCGGCGGTAATACTCCCCGTGGGCGATCGAAATATGCTGTTCTCACCCGAGGCGGCAAATTGCTATTACAACGCGAAAGGAGAAGATGTAAATCATATATTTCCCTGCACACAAGTAGTTGCCCCCGCTAAATGTCTGCCAAAGGGATAATCTCACTGCGTATGTGCTTGCCTTTCTGTGATGACGGCGTTAAGAATGGGCAAATGGTTGGTTACATTGAGCGAGAGAGGGGAAGAGGGAGGATCCTTTTCGAGTTCCTTAAGGATGGAACGATGTCCGGATTGTTCTAGAAGCCGCTGCAGATCAACATGAGCATTTAAGTTCGTGATTGTAACTGTACAAAATATATCAAAAAAATCAAAAGAATCAATATTTTATAAGTGCAATACATCGTTATACAAGTACATGTACCATAATACAAAACAGGGCAAGGCAAAAGCAGGCTTGATCCGTATATGATTCGATTAAATGGTACGTCATCTAACATGGCTATCTGTGCATCCAATAACGGTATACAGAAAACGGAGATGATACATGAGATATACCGGTTACAATAAATTTACTAAATAATCACCCCCTAACAGCTCCTTTCATCTGCTTTATAGTCACTCCTGGGTGTATGTCGCTGCTATCAATCCAAAATCTCGCTCATCAGATTCGAGTACATGCATATATACATAAGGAAAGGAAGAACGAAAGAACAACGTACTCATTCGACTCTCATGTCGGACGAGGCGGCTGAGGCGGCGGCTTAGACGCGCTCTGCGAACCAAGCACAGAATCAAGCCTATTCTCCAAACCCTTCCCCCTCTTATCAATCCACTTCAAGGCCGAAGAGCTACTAAATAGCTTACCACTGCCTATGCCCATCCCCATCCCCATGCCGCCCGATGACTTCCTCGGCGGGCCAGCCGGAGCCGCAGGCGGCGGATCAAACACTCTCTTCGGCGGCGGAGGATACGCCACGACGTGCGGTGTGAATCCCGTGACCACCTGCGACTGAGCGCCCCAGCCAGTTGCCGTTGCCGGGCGAGGCGGCAGCGGGGGCGCGGCGTATAAATCCTGGGGGTTTGGAGAAGATGGACCCTCGCTATTGGGAGTTGCGTAGGTTGGCTGAGTTGGATATTGGTGCTGGTGAGGAGCTACCGCCGGCCCGTATGGCAGGTTGTACATGGAAGACTGCGCATAAGGAGGCTGCGTGTCTGGCCTTTGTGCATCAGGGAATGAATATGGCGAAGGTGACTGTGGCGACGCTTGGGGCTGGTATGCGCCTGGTGATGGCTGTTGGTATTGAGGCGGTCGTGGTGGTTGAGGAGGTGGAATGTCGGCTGAAGACGCATAAGTACGTTGTGGGATATCATAACTTGAAGTTGGTGGCGGAGGTGTATACTGCTGGGCAGGTGGGTAATACATCGAGGCTGGGTGGCCAGGAGATCCTGTTGGCGGAGGAGGTGATGAGGAAGGATACATGTTTTGCGGCTGACTTTGGCCGATGGGTTGGAAAGGGTACGTAGTCATGTTCGGGCTGGGCAAAGCTGAAGCGGGCGCAGAATGAGGTGTCATATATGCTTGGTGTCCTGGTGTTGGACTCGAGTTTAGGGAGTAGCCCAGGGCAGGACTTGGGCTTGAAGGTAGGCCTAGAACAGGACTCGAAGCCGATGGACTTGGTGAATGGCGATGCGGAGGAGCAATCGTCGTGTGGGACACAGGAGGAGGAGCATGATACAGAGTTGAAATGGCAGCCACTGAAGGTTCTGCTGTCGCTACCGCCACCGTTGGGACATGAGGAGCTGGAGCTGGAGGTGCAGGATGTGCAGGATATGCAGGAGGTGGAGGAGGAGCAATAGGAGCAACAGCAGGAGGTGAAGCAGAAGCTGGAGCTGGAGGAGGAGGCAGACTGGGAGCAGGAGGAGGATGAGAACCAGCCGTTATATGTGGTGAATAAGGGCGATGTGGTGCCGCCGCTCCATGCAAAGAAGTTTCTTTCGAACCAGACGGCTCAACAACCTGCTGCTGCTGCGGCGGCGGCGGCGGCGCAAGATTCGGCGACGGTAGCGGCGATGATGTTTTCAAAGCCGGCGCTACTTGAGCAGCAACTGGTCCAGTGACCAGAGAGTCGTGAGCATTCAGCGGCAGCGGAGGCGGCGCCGAAGCTGGCGTCGATGATGATGTTGACGCGGGCCTAGGAATTGGCATCACAGCAGGTCCCATCACATTGTCTGCTTTCGATCCAGGCGGCGTGACATATCCAGGAGGGCGATATGGCCGATACGGCAGCGCACCTGAACCGCCTTCGGGGCCCTCCGACGATGCCATCTGGTGGTGTGTCACCTTCAGCGGCGCAACTGTCGTATTGTTGCTCTCTTCTGGCGGCAGATACGGCTTAAAGGCCGGCGCGACTGTGAATGCTGGGACCTGCTTTCTCGATAATCGTAGAGGTGCTATGTAGTCTGTCCCCGCTGGTGGTGATGCTGTTGGTACAGGAGGGGGCGCATTATGAGGAGGAGCTTCATCATCTCTGCCTTGCTTGTCATGGCCGCCGAGATGCAGCGGTAGTGGCTGTAGCGAAGCATCCTCCGCATCCTCGCCTTTTGCTTCAGATTCTCTCTGTTCCTCCATCTTGAGCTGCTCCATTTTGATCCCCAATCCACCGACACTCTGCTCTGCAGGCTCACGCCCACCCATATCTTGTTCTTCACTCTTCTCTTCATCCGGCGTCATCGGCCCAAAATACGCCCACGGATTTGCCAACGGCTGCTCAGTGACTTTCGCATTTCTCCCAGCGCCCTTCTCCCCCCCTTCCTCCTCCTTCTTATCAACTCGCGCCTCCGTCCGCACGTCTTGGTCCAGATAAAACGGCCATGGATTCGCCTGCGGCAGCGGCTCCGTCTTGGGCGCCACCGTGTCGGCGGGCATCTCGAAGACCTCCCCGCCGGCGAACTGCGACGGAGGAGGGTGCTGGTGATGATGCGCCATGGCGACGGATTACATGTAAGATGACGCGCGGCGGCGGGCCTTTCTCCTTTCCTTTCTTTTCGGTTTCGAACAAAACTCCAGATCTCGCCCGTTCACACCGCGGTTTATATGTATCGTATCACAACTGTGCGTATTTATTGCTGCGCCTTCGCCGTCGTCGTATGCCGGTCTTCGTATCGAGCTGGGGGTCGTGGTCGCAAACAAATGCCAGAAAGGCAAAAAGCTGCTGTAACAGGGCTACCGTGGCCGTTTAAACCCGGTATTAAACCCCAAATATCCTTTCTTTTCCCCCTAATCAGAGTCCTCCCACAACGATATTCTCCCAAAGGGTGTCTTTCGTTCGTTCGTCGTCGCAATCAGACTCGCGCTCGCATGTAGTTGGTCTGATGGTTGTATAAGTTCCACGGCAGTCAGTATAAAGTAGTACAGCCAAGATAAACAGGCACATAAGCCACACAGCCAAGCCCCCCAAAAGCGGGCCGAGTTAGCCACGCCAAAGTACGCAAGCCAGCTGCCACTGCACGAGGGAGGCTAGATGCTGCACATGGCGTGTGAGCAAAAAGACGGAAGCACCTGGCCTTGCGACCTGGATGTGCACATGCCACGCACCATCTCCTGCCATGCTAAAGGCCTAGAAAGGTTAGAATCCACCGGCAGGGACCGCTTTGAATTGTGCCAGCACTAGAAGCCTTGGCTTAACAAGTATGTTACATGCAGAAAGGAAAGAGAAGAATAGAAGACAGGCAGACGGCAGGCCCTGGCGAACAGATGCCTTGACAGCTCCAGGGAGCGGGAGCGGGAGCGGAACCCAAAACCAGCAAGCCAACATGAAGAAATAAACTCCCATGAGCCTGAACCCAGTGCCCATGTGAACATGCCTGTGGGTGGCCAAGCTTCATGTAAGGCGTGTGTACTTCCAGCTCATACATACTTACGTGTACTTGTAGACTGTACCTAACTAACATGGAGCGCACCCTGCTAAGCTCGGCGCTGCATACGGGACGTGGCCTAGTTTTCATCGCCCTCGTTAACAATCTTCGCCTCTTGGCCCCTCGACGGACAGGACAAGGATTGCCTCTCCTCACCTCCCTCTCTCTCCACACGTTTCTCCGAAAGCCCTACAAGGCATGCAGGGCCGTGATCTGCGCCAGGGGGGGGGGGGGGGGGGGGGGGGTATTTTCCCTTTCTACAAGTGAAGTGCTGAGGCAGGGAGCTGCCATGTGCGCGCCCGCTGAATCCACTTCCCGCTTGGACTCGAAGAAATCTTTGGTCTGCCCCTTCTGATTGGCAAGGCGTATGGCTACTAATATCTGCTCCGTAAGAAGTATGTACTCTGCAGGTACTGTATGTTCGCCGCGTCTTCCAGAATTCCCCCTTGCATTACCTCCAAAGTACATACATAGATCGTAAACCCTTGCCAGAGAAAAGGTGACAGCTCTGATATCGAATGCCATACCATCCAGACAGACGGCTTGGATGGGCCACATGCCGTCAGACACTAAGGTATGTTTTCAAAGCAGTGTTGGTCGTAGACTACATCTTTCTCCTTATTAGGACATGATATCTCACAATCACTGCTATCGCTAAACTTTTATGTAGGTAGCCATCCATATATATAAGCCATGGAAAGCAGATAGCAAACAACAGCTATTATGGAAAACACGACAAGAAGCTAAATCATGGCTTGAAAAAACGAAAAACAAAGTAAATCGTTAGATAAATTCATCCTAGGGCGTTAGAAAAGCCCAACCCAACCCATATATTTCCAAGTAATCCATCCAGCCCGCTTGCAAAGCCCATTAATTCCCTATCCTAGTACAGTTTGTGAAAACCGCTCGACCAAGATGCATCCAATTCCATCAACCATATAATAAGATAAAACTATCAAACTAGCAAAGACTAAAAGGAACCGTATTCGTCATATCCCTTCCACAAGAAAACAGAAAAAGAAATAGACGTCAGGGGCGAACCAGCATCCAATCCCGAAGATTAGAATACTTACATACAAAGCTTATTTTTTTTCCCCTAGCGGTGAGTGAAATGTATCATGGTAAAGGCTTGATTCAAACATGCTTTTAATCATCATTGTTTTTCGCGCCGTGTTTCATTCGATGAGCCCATCGCCGTTTCCCAGGCCTGGTTTCAAAGTGAGGTGCCACAGACTGGATGTCAACCATAGCACCTTCAATTGCTGCGCGCGTTTTGTTTCGATAGCAGTCAACTGTATTCACTCTGTCAGTATGTCAAAAGTTTCTCTCTCTCTCTCTCTCTCTCTCTCTCTCTCTCTCTTTGATTCATATTTGCTTACGGGCTCGTTGGAGGAACACAGTCCGGCCAGAAAAGACTCGGCTTTGAAGCCAAGCCATCCGGTAGCCAAGGTCGTTCAGTCGCACCTCATTCACACGGCCTGTTTTCCTCATCCTGGGAATAGTCGCCTCCCTCTCTTGGCCTTCTGCCATCGTAATCTTCACTACCTCGCCCCTGGATTTTTCAGCGCCACGGCGGGAAGCCTCGCGGCCCTCAGTCTCCTGCGTTCCGTCATCCGAAACGTCGTCGACGAAGAATTGCGAGCCCGTGGCACTGGGGGGTGGGCTTTGCATCTCACGAGGGAAAAAGCTCCTAGGAAACACACTAGCTCCCTTGCGGAAGCTGTCTGGGATCTCATTCGTGTCTACGCCATCCAGGGTGACACGCACACGAAGGCGCGAAGCCCGTACATTGTCTTCAACCAAGATGAATTTGCGTCTCTTTGCTTCAGGGATATCGGGGAACAGGTCGTCATTGGCGTCGTCGACACGGCTATGGCTCCTCGCTGGTATGGCACCGTTTGTTCGAGGAGCTATATGAGACATCGACCCGCCTTGAGGACCAACGGGATATGAACCCGGGCCCGCGTATCCCGCAAAGACGTGTGCTTGTCTCACATCTTCGTTGCCAGCAGGGGGCATCTGAGCGGTTGGCGGTGGATGATGGTGGTGATTATCCTCGTAGGAACCATTTCCTTCGCCTCAACATACGCGTTAGCTTTTACTCTCCATAATTACTACTCGGCGAGCAAACGCGAATGACGGGGGGAAACGAAGTAACCAATACTGTATGTAGAAGGAAGAGACAAAATGTAGAAGCATCTTTAAAGGGGGGCCAAGCAAAAAGGCAAGCGTCTTTCTCTGCTATGCGCCATTGAAGAAATCTTCTCCTAATCAGCATAGCAAAGTTTAGCTGCCAGCAAGCCAGTAAGAGAAAAGGGGGAAAACTTTTTATAGCCTCAAGGCGTATTTTGAACTCATCTAAGAGTCGCGCGAAAACCAGCAGCAAAAGCAGACAAACTTGAACAGCAGCGGCAGCCGATGCGACTTTTTATGATAATATACAGGATTTGTGCCAACCGAGGGATCGACTATCGACCTCTTGCCATTAAGGCATGCTGTATAGAATAGGTAATAATAATGCGCGGTAAGACAAGCGATGCCGGCCCATTGCTATTTAACAAAAAAAAAAAAAAAAAACCGGACGTGAAATAACACAATTGTTACAGATCCCCAATTCCTAAAGTGCCATACAGTCGAAGAGGGAAAAGGAAATAAAAAAGGAAAAACCAGTGATAAAAAGGAAGATAGCAAAAAAGACAAGGCCACTCGGGTAGAAAAAAAAACAAATATAGAGTTTGCCTTGCCAAATATAAGTGTAAAGTGCTTTTTTGCATAGGAGGTAAAAAAATGAGTTGGTATCATTAAATCAACACAACGTTTTGACGGCGTGAAAACTGTCTCTAATGAGGGTTGCAAACGCAAAAAAAGGTGATGCAAGTGTACAGCAGATGTGATCATTTCAAAAATTACATCTGGTGAAACATACCGACTTCTTCTCCACCCGGTGCGCCGCCGTCAGGGTGGCCCCCGGCATGGTGATGGTGCATAGGTTGCCCCATGCCGCCTATCGTTGGCTTGCCCATGTTGGGCGCATGAGCTGTGGGCATGGGTGCGGGAGCGCCTGGATGCCCTCCTGGCCCACCGGGGCCTGACATATGGGCACCAGGGTGCGGAGCGCCCTGGACTTGTTGCTGCTGCTTGCGACTGTTCATCTTGGCCATGCGGCGAACTCGTCGGCTTCGGAGTCGAGGATCTTGGTTGCTGTTGCGCCAGCTGTCCACTGCACGCTGAATCAAGCCTCGCTTGCCTCGCAGCGGCACGTTGAGTTGTGCCAGAGCCCAGCCGACTCTGTTGCACTCAGTCTCGTAAATCAACCGGTTTCCGCGGTACTGATCTTTAGGGCAGCAAGCCCTGGGGTAGACGCAGTTCTCCTGCTTGAACTCTGGGGAGAGCTCCTCGATGTTTACTGACTCGACATCGCAGCGAATGGTATACTCCATCTTAACCCGGTCCCGGGAATATTCAAAGGCAATCCACTGAACGCCATTGCCATCTTGCCTGACGACGAGAGGCGTCGTTGCCGGGATAGGGCCCGGAGCAGCATTGGGGTTGACCGCAGGAGTCGGGTTGGCAGGACTTTGAAGTTGTGGCGGACCCTGTTGGTGGTGGGGCTGCGACATGGGAGAAGGCTGCTGTTTCTGCAGCTGCAGGGGAACTTGGGGCTCGATCTTGGGTCGCGGGCTACCCGTCATGCCGGCCTGCGCATGCTGTGCGTGCTGCGCCGCGTGCGGCGGCATCTGGTTCTGCTGTGCTGCATGCGACATCATCATATTGGGTTGCGAGGCCATTGAATGTTGTTGGTGATGGGCATGCTGCGCGTAGGGAGAGGGAGCCGCCTGATGGGGCATGGACTGGTATTGAGGCGGAGGCTGGTAGTACATGGACTGCTGCAAATGCTGAGACTGCGGCTGGCCGTACAGGTTTCTGTGCTGGTCATGCTGCGATGGTGACGCTACTGATGCGGGCGAATTGGACTGTGGTGTATGATATGACATTGGAGGGTAGGGAGGTCTAGGCATTTGAGCGGCGGCCATCATGTCGGAGGTATCTGCAAAAGAGACTTGTGCGTTAGCATCCTGAACAAGGCGGAATCGAATCGCGTGCGTGGCTGCGCTTGCTGCGTGCAGAGAAGCTTACCGGCGGACGTGTATCCGCTCGTGGCACCTGGAGTGCTGTACGGGCTCGGGTGGTTGTAGTAGTTCAAAGTCTCTGGCGTGCTGGTCGCCTGGTTGCCGGCCTGGTACGCCTGCGGGAGAGTGTGTTGCGACGAGTATGCGCCTTGGTGATGCTGCGGCGGCGGGTGCTGCGAATGAGGGTGGTGTTGCTGGTGAACAATGCTTGGGGGACGCGAATGCTGAAGCGGTTGCGAAGGCGGGTGACCCTGTTGCTGGTGGTGGGCTTGATGCTGCATAGGGAGAACACGCATCAGTAAAGCTTCAACGTCGAAAAACTCATTAAGCTGGTAAAGAAAAACAGTTCGAGATAGGACGCGTTTGATGTTTTATCTGCCCCCTTGACAGACTGATGGTCTACCAAGTCGTGGTGGGGTGGGCCAGTCCCCTGGCCACTGACCGGGATGACACGGGTGAGGCGTGCTAGGCCTGAAAAGACAACGCCGGTAGAAGCAATCTTGGACTCGCGTACCGGAGGCAGAGGGCTTTGGGGTAGAGGCACAGTGGGCGCAACGTGGGGACGTCGTACCGCCTAGCTCCAGATTATGAATTGGGAGAGCGAGGGATGAGCGGGAGACCGGGGGGAATGGCTTGCGAACAACGGGAGACAGGAAAACGAGCAGGGCGGTTTCTTGCGCCGTCGGGGCGGCCATGCAACAGGCACAAAGAGGACAAGCCAGGGGGAGAAAAGATACCTGGCGGAGCGGCAAGGAGGGGTGGACGAGGGAAGAAAATTATGTTTGGCCCAAGGACCAGGGAATTTGCGTAGGGATCTGAGATGGTATGCAAAGTACGGGACTGATGCTTACCGCCGTACCGTACAGAACGGAGATGCAGAATCGGGACGGTCAAGCTGCTTCTTCGAAAAACAAGTAAGAAGCTGTGCTGAAGCCCCCTGTGAAAAAGAAGACGTATAGGAATTTTGCAGTACGGAAAAGAAAACAACGAACGCAGATATGCAACGCGCGCGCTCAACAAGAAAAGGAGAATGAAGCTCTCTTTTTTTGCCTCTTTTTTTTCTGGTTTCTCCCCCGAGAAATAGAGAAAAAAATTTCCAGAGGGATAGCAAAAGTAAAGGAGCTAGGTGACCGCAAGTCCCCAATACTTTTCTGAGTCGTACTAGCAGGGGAGGGGGTGTCTCGTCGGGAGGCAGCTTGAGAGCGACGGGGAGCAAGGATGGGCCAGAACCGGGGCTAGCCAGCGCATGGGAGACGCGACAGGGGCGCAGAGGCTTTGATTACACAGCCAGTAATAGCGTTGGTAAGTCCAGCCAGGGGGGACATGACCAGGACCAGCTGCCCAATCAGGCACTGCAGAGCCGGGCCTAGCCAGCAGACAAGGATTGTGCCGGGATTGCCATCACCATCTTCTCTTAGCCCACAGGCGGTGTGTGTGGGTGGATGAGAGGCAGAAGAAAGGGAAATGGATTGACCCAGCACTGTGGCGGACGGCACTAGCACGTCCTGCAGCGCACAGCGAGAGCGTGAACAGAGACGCCGGCATGAGGAGCAGCAGCAGCAGCAGCAGCAGCAACAACAACAACAGCATCATCGCTATCATCATTCGTTGTCGCCCTGCGACCAAGCATGCACATACTACTTGTACAGTAGCCGAGATCAGTTGCTCGTGCTTGGTACGCGTAGGTACACTTGTCTGTGCTGGCCATGCTCAAACAAACGGGAGGCCTGGGCAGGCACAGACGTATTCAGAGTAGACCAGATGAACGTTCCCCGGTTTCGGCTACCGGCGCGGCGGACACCGAGCCCACCATGAGCGCCAGCCTGGTCACGGCCATTCATCCTCCTGCTCTGAATGTGTTGTTCCTTGTGGCCTTGTCCAGCCCATTGTACCGTTGCGTTCAGAGATGGGATGAGCGAGCATTTGCGAGTAGTCTGCTGCTATTCTCGTCTGGCTAACATAGCCGAGTGCTCTCCGTCCATCGACTGTGGCATAGCGCCGCGCCACACCACGCCTCCAAGCAGCTGAGCCCAGTCTCGGGATAGGAGTAGACGTTAGCAGCTCACTACGAGCAGACGTGGTGGCGCAGCCCCCACCGAGAGCTTGACGATTGGGTCGTATGAGACCCGTAGAGCACAGCTTCTGTGTTTCCCTCAAATGCTGCTTTAATTTCCACCGGCCTCTACGGCGCTCCGTAGGCGTTGCGCTTGCATCCAGCGTATGAGTAGCCTTGCTCTAGCGTATTCACCAGGTACTCCGTATATACATTCTTGGATAAAGAATAAGCGCGGCTCGGCGAGAACCCAGTTGTCAAATGAGACGCTACTAGGTGCCAGGTGGCTGACCCCTTGCCCTTGACGCAACTTTGCTCAAAAATAAAGATTGTGGAGTGTTGCGTAATTCGACACAGCATGCCAGGTAGCTTCCACTGGATGCTCCCTGCTCGAAGCTCCGATCATTTCAAGATGGCTGTTGGCTCTGGTCATGCAACGCATCAACGTCTTTTGCTGCAGCTTTCTCTGCTTCCAGACCGCTGGGTCACTTCTTCTCAGGGCCCTATTTCTCGCCTAGCCGCTGCTCAAATATCGCCGACTGACACTAAGACCCGTTGCCATTTAGGTCCACTCGGCCCTGTCGTAGGTGGCGCGCCCTGGCCGCTGGTGAAACAGGAGCTCGTTGTGTCCACACAGTGAGTCCCGGCCTGGTTAACCTTGCGACACAGCACGCTAGCGAGCTTCGTGGCCACAGATCACCCCCAGCTTGAATGTCGACAGAAACCTTTACGGGCTTGCTGACACCGCTTGGTGCTATGCCTCTAGAAGGAATCTGCGGGAAACTTCGTGCACCGATAGATGTTGAACATGTATAAAAAAGGGGCAACATTAAGAAAGTCGAGAAATGCAACTTACTAATTCGGTAGTATGATCCTGGAAATATGATCGGGTTTGGCCGAGAGTCGCCATCATTGCAGTCAGAATTAGAAGTTTTGGCCTTGGAGATACTAAGCAGTGTTAGCCAGTGAAGCTTGATTTGGTTTCTGGAATGTGCAAAAGGTGGAAGTGAAAGCTCGGAAGTGCGCAAGAGTGTTCTCAACTCCTTCTGGGCAAGTTTCCTTGTGTTTAGAAGAGTACTTTGACAACAGGACTTTCCAGATCATTACTCCCAGCCCAGCTTCAGGTGACAGCATGAGGTTGTACAGCGAAGCATATAATCGAGCCCCTCAAGTAATAGTGCGTTTGGGACAGAGGGGTTTGAATGCGATCATAAAAGAACTTAGAGAGAGGAACATATGAAGTGTGCTTACTTTGAAGATTCTCAGCAAATTCCAGCCAAGCTATCTAGCTGTGAGGCCCAGGCCCAAGTGGCAGAGCTTTCGTAACTTTGCTAGGTATGATACTTGTCCGCCGCGTAGCTTGGAGGTACACAGGCAGTAGATGCAAAGCCACAGCCGTCAAAGATGGCCTATGGTATCTCGACCGCCAGTATTGGAAATGTGGCGGCACAGTTGTGTCGTGGCAATTGGCTGGCAGACAAAATGCTTCGACTACCTAAAAAGCAAGCCTCCTGCAGGAGTTTCGCTCAGGTACTGGGTTCTGCGGTAGGTACTACACGAGTTACATTAGTTCATGCAAGTCCAAGGATATACCGGCGTCCCATCAGCGAGGCTTGTGGCATTCCATACAAACCAGAGCAGAGAAGAAAAAAAAGCTGGGCGGATATCACTACAGCACAGGTGCTCGTACTAGACTGCGTTCTTGAAGATGAATAGGTCGGTCTCATGAAGAGTTTCAAGGAAAGTTCCAAATGGTTCAGCTTGGAACCAGTCGAGTAAATAAGCAAAAGAAGAGGATGTGAAAGAGAGAAGCAAAATTAGGATAAGCTCGCCTGCAGAGAGATTCAAAGATGATCAGCCTATGCACACGACATGATTCGTAAAAGGTAGGGAGATAACGAATAATGCTAATTTTGAGAATATACGAAGTACTGCTACATGTACTGTAGCTCTCCATAGTAGGAGGTACGGAACCTATACAAGCAGGTACGAGTAGGAAAAGAACGAGGCATGGGTGCTCAAGCGCTGGCCCCTATTACCCTGGTAGACGGGCGATTCCGAGGCACCGGCACTCAAGCTTCGGCTCAGACGCGTTGACATGGCGAACAAGGATGCTTCTCATGCCACTACTAGCCGTACTACAATTAGCACACCTGTACATTTAGAGCAGTAGCATCGAAGAACTATCACGAATCAAAGGTTACGAGATGATGGTATTCGCATACAAGAAAGGCTACACAGGCGGCCACAGGTATGCGGAAATGATCTTTGCATCAAAAGGCGGAAAGACTTTACCGACTTGATGTTCTCTGAAAGACCCCCGGTGTGCACAAGATGTACCTTGTGCTCCATCCTACTAGGCCGAATCTCGCACTCATGGCTAATGTGACCGGGACTCTCTTTTGGCCAGTTGAACGACGGTGGGACCGATCCAAGAGAAAGACTGCGAGATGGTTAGCGGATTCGGTCAGCACTAAATCCTGGTCAAAGCGCGGCAAGATGCTTGCAGGTCAAGAGATGCTACTGCACAATAGCGGTTCTACTGTATAGTACCTACCATACGGTTTGGCGTTGCGCAACGGCGATGGTAGATGAGCAGGTTGAGGTTTTGAGTAGCACTAGCAGTACGAGCAACTCGTCATTATGCCAGTCGCTGAGGGATATCAAGCAGGTCGAATGCTCAAATGATGTAAACTGACAATAAGCATGGAAATCGGGGGCCTCGTGCCGCAAGAATATATGTGGCTCTTGTTCTTCCATTAACCTAGAGCAGGCATCTCTAGGTTGTTGTGTTGAGAAAAAGCTTGAGCAGCATTTATAATTGGATAGGCTTCGTGCTGATACGTGTACTAGATATTGAGTCTGGCTTGGCGTCTCAACCAGATGACTGCCTATTTTCGTTAGCATTATCACTCATGCCCCGTCCCAAGGTGGAAATACTGTTGCTTTGTTATTACAAGTAGCTTGAATGCACGGAACAACAGTATGTTGTCACTCCATGGTGAGCTGAGGCAATTGTCAACGCACGTATAAATGAGTTCTTACTGTAGTAGTAGTATTGCCTCGCTTATCCCTTGGGTTAGTTTATTGTAAACACCTCATACGTACCAATTCAGAATAAGTGACACTGCCGGAGATGCAACATCATTAGGGCAATAAATGCTGGTGCCATTCTGTGCCCTCCCCGAAGCAGTCCTACTGCCTGGCGGCTGTGGTGTCGGACAGAGTACGAAGTACCCGGACAGAGTGCAGTACATAATCACAGGCATCGTACTGCCAACAAAGTATAGAAACATACACAAAGCCAACGGGCTTGCCTCTTGCCAATTACCCTTTCTGTCATGGGTGCGGAGAACCTCGCACAGCTTAGTCGCGGTTCGGTCCCTTTCAAGAATCTCCACACGTACAAAACGGGCCGGACCAGCCGCCTGAGGCTAAAGATTTTTATACGGCATGCGCGCATGTAGGTATACATGGTAATGAGAATAGCATACGGCATTACCGACTAACAGCAGAGATTCATCAACTGTGAGTGCTAAATGACACGCTTCGTAACCGAGAGGCCTTACTGAGCTGCTGAGAGAAGCGGGCAATATGAAGTACCAGTAGTACACGGAAGATAGTACTTTGTAATCGAACTCTTTTCCTGGAATTAACAGCAGCCAAGTCCGAAACGCCGCTTAGACTGGTGGGTGTGTGGCGATCATCCAAGTTGAGAGCGAATGCCAAGGCACGAATGAATGTATGAGGAAATTGTGGTGTTCCACTAGGTTCATCTTTCTCATGCTGAGTAAAACTCTCATGATGAAGTGGCACGAGATGGGGCCTGGATTTAATTCTACCGCCTCAATTTGGCGAAGACACGGAGGACTTGCGCATAGCCGCATGAATCCAACTAGCGTCGCTGCTACCCACCTGCCCTTAGCACGTCGAAATGCCACTAAGGCAGAATGACACATTTTTAATTTCCTTTTGAATAGGTGATGCAAGGCAAAGAGAGAGCGGTGGAAAAAAATTCTTCATCCACTCGTGCAATGAGCGCACGGCCCGAGCATTACTCCATAAGCTTCAAACGGTCCAGCGAAGGTTGCGGGCACCCAATCGCTTGCTCAGGCGATAGATGGTTGTGCTGTCCTTCGCTTGGAAAGGGCACCAAAGGTTCCTGGCGGCTGCAGGGTGAGAGGATGCTCCCACAAGAAATACACGTGGAAACATGGAATACCGCTAAAACCATGGGGCCCAGGGAGCGTTGGCGCAGTCCAGGATCATTGACAGGCAGTCACCCTCCAGAAAGACATGCTGGCTCGCACCAGGCTTCATGAGATCGTCTTGAGATCCAGCCTTCTTCCTTCGGTGTGCATCTCAGCTGCGGTAGCAACCGAATATTATCTCGAATGTGACAGCGAGGGACCATGGGTGGGTAGATAGATGGCCTGTTCGGGTTCCTCGCACACGTTCCTCTCACACGTATCACTACTGCCAGTCAGTGCTCGCAATAAATCGGATCCGTACAGTCACATAAATTCGGAGTTTACTTTTTCGTCAATTAGGCGGAGTGGTCTGATGAGGAGAGGCCGCAACGATTCCTTTCCAAGGCGAATCCCGCATGGCAGTAATTTGCCGCAATGCCCACAAACGTCCTAAAAGCTTTTCCCGCCTAAGGCGACTCGCCCGCCGAAAGCATGTCACTGCTAAGCGTATCTGCTCGTAGCAGGTTGACAGGTGAAGGGCCGAAGTGGTCGCTGCCGGTGACAATGGCCTGTTCATTTGCACCGAGTATCCTTGAAACAAAGTGCCGTGGTGGCTTGTCTGTCGTCGTACTTTGCCGCTGTACCCAGGATTTGATCCCCGGAAAACGTTTAAAGTTATAGACGGAGCACAGAAAACGGTGCAATCCACGCCTTGTGCAGGGATTCGGAGGTAACGGTCGGAACTTGGCGGATATGCAGCGGAGACGGCAAACAAGGATGGATATTGAGCGGTCGATGCAGAGGGCAAAATCCCTGCTCGTGCCTTGGCCAGGAATCTGGAGCTTGGAGCTTGCTCTGAGGGTTCGTGGCCGCTACTGCTCTGGTAGCGTGGAGAAGATGCGAGCATCCCTCCTTCCCATCGCCCCTCAGCAGCATGGCCTCCAGGACACACTATGGGCAGCTACGAGTACTTGTACCTTGCGCTCTGCTTCGTGCGATGCCCAAGTCAAAGTCCAAGATACTTTGTGCCTCAGACAAGCTGGTGCCGCATATTACAGGTAGTTTTTTTCTTCGATGCCCAAGCGAAGGATCTCGGTTAGGTGCTGCTAGCTGTCTCTACCTGCCAGAACAAAGCATGCTTCTAGAAACTCAGCGATCTGTGTTCATGACAGACCCTTGGTATCCTAAGCGATGGTGTTGCCGAATCTGGAGCATGGAATGCGACCGCTATCTCCCCGATGCTGCGTACATTTTGCAAAGACTTGTTCTGAGCTATCAAAAGGGCTTTTGGGCAACTCGTCAGCGCCAAGACAGCACTGCTGAACGACTATACCTACTAGTACTTGTGCGGCAGCACACGTATACACTGGCCGTCAAACCTCATGCTGGAGACTTACTAGAGAAGGAAAGGATATTCTAACAGCTATCCAAGTGTGGTGGCCGGTATGTCTAGCAGGCAGATGCCTGGGCATAGATACTCGCTCAGTTGCTGAGGTTACACACGATGCCGGCGCCGGTGAAATCATGGTCGCACTGGACGGTCATGTCCGGAGATGCCGACTGCAAGCGTGACATTCGCAGATCTCAAACGGGAAATAGATATTGGCAGGACTGTACGCATACTGCTCACAGCAGCTTAGTGACCGCCTCCGGTGTTAAGGGGCAATGGTGCGCGCCGTACGGCAGACGCGCTAAGCACATGATATTCGCTCGATTCTCTCCTCTTCAGGCTGAATAGGGAATATCTACTCGACTAGCCACCACTGGGATCTCCATTTTGTAAGCGGAGGCAATCTTGACTCTGATAGCGGGTCTGGAGCTCTGCTCCGAACGCTCTTGTATGCGGTTCGGCCAAATGACCTTTTTGGCTGCAGCTCAGTCGCGGCGCTACTGCTGATATTTCGGCCGGCAATCGTCGATTTCAATTCATCCGACGTGAGATCGTGTTTAGAGAGGGGAGTGAGATGATCCAGGTCTGACGCGATCATTTGATTGCGGTGGCAGGACATGCACGGGATACTACACGCCTGTAGGTATAGTAGTAACATCACATGTACCCAACATTTAGATGCTCATTGTGACCATGTCAGTATTGAAGCAATGCGTCACCAAGTGTATACGGGACTGTAACCACTCTGTAGCAAAGTGCTAGTATATCCAGATCCAAGCGGAGCTCCATTACAAGACATTCTAGAAGACTGCTACCAGCAGGATGTGCCAGTTGGTAGGTACGTACGTCTGCAGCTAGGAATGCTTCCTGGTCTCGCGTACCTTGCCATGGCGGTAAGCATTGATGCTACTGCTCTCCCGCGGGAGCAGTAATCCTGGAACGGCAGATGTTGCTCATCGTGGGCGCATCGGCGCCGCTACGACCGCCCCCTGGCTCAACCCTGTGTACACGTAGATAGGTAGCTGGGGATATTCGCCGGACCGTATCCATCCAGTCTTACTGCGTACAAGGCATGTACAGTAAGAGGCAACTCCGAGAACCTTTGCTCACAATGGGTACATAGCGGCTTTGTCTGAATGATCCATGTGCGCTTAGGCGCCTGCCGGTAGCTGCTGGCGATTCTCAGCTGTCCTTTGCAGTGCTTGTGGATGGCGATGCAAGGGAGCAGTAGGTGTAAGTACCAGTAGAGAGGTATGGGGTAAACCAGCATTGGTTCGCATCTGGTAGCTCTGCGCCTAGGCCCCATAAGGTATCTATCCATATTGTGCTGACTAACATGCCTTGTGCGTATATGTGCATCATGCCATTCTTGGTCTTCACGAGAAAATCCATCAACGAGTCGTAGCCCTTCATGCATCGACTGCTTCACTGGCCTCATAGTCAACTCTACTACTGTACAGTGCTTTCTTTTCCAAATCGCCACATGATCCAGCGTTGTCATCTCATCTCCACAGCTGTTTCTCACTGGTACCTACAAGCAAGCACCCTCAGTATGAGCCAGTAGGTAGGGGAGACATAAGAATGGCGCTGACAGGGGTCCTGAGCCGCTGTGGGTGTGCTTCGGTAGAAGATTCGTGGCGACATGGTTTCCGGCAAGGGCTTTCCGGCTCCACGGAAGAGACCAGTCCACCGGGCCAGTGGCCGTAGCTCGAACGTGGCGTGGCCGCCTTCTCTAGTCCTGGAGAAGGCCTGGTGGACAAGAGTGCTTGTTTAGCTGAGACAATAGGCGCCCAGTAGCCGTTTGGCCGCATCGACGCAGCCCATCCACAGATGAATTGACCGATTCAGCGGAGAGACAAAGAAGTGATATAATACCTGCTACAAGCAGGTACCAAACGGCAGGGTATTCTTTATGCTTACGATTGTAACTCAATCAGCAATTGCTAGCCATCATCTTGATTCGTATGTCAGACGCTTCATGCATGCTACACCGTTTACCGCTCATTCGAAACGTTATTACAACCAGGGACACGTACAGTACTGCTACGTGCCTAGCTTGTAAATATTATCGCCGACCAGACTCAGGTTCCTTGATCAAAGGGTCCAGCCTCGTGAGCTAACGCGAATTGCCCGTCATTGCACTCGGTTAGCTGATGCGTGTCAGAGCCTATACTTGTATCAGAGACGCGTGATTAACATCAAATTATGATGGCCAACATTAGTTCTGGCTAAACAAGCGCAGGGTTTCACTCTTATTCTTCCGTTTACACATGAGCTTACTACCTACCTAGGTAGCTACTAGTAGTAGTAAGGCCTTTACTTTAGAGGTAGGGTGTCTTAGCAAGTCTCCGTCCTTGTGCCAATATCAAACGTTACTTTGTCTGCGGAGCGCGGTACGGAGTAAATCCGAGTGCTCTGCTCCAAGGCTAGTGGGCTAATTTTAAACACGAGAGGCCTTTCAGCAAAACGCCGCAACACGATGGCTGACACTTCATCTCACTTGTCAACCCGCTCCACCACGCGATGCCCGATCCCGCCAAGTCTGACGGAGCAGATGTCCCTGACAAATTGGATTTCGATTGGCGGACAGACTGGTACTTGTACATTTGGCATATCTTGTAGACGCGATGCGGTCTTACCATTGCATGAGCAAGAGGTCGGTACAGACACCTCTCTACTCTCATACGTTTGAGACTTGATACAGAGTAAAATTTTGTGTTGTTGCGGGCTATAGGTCCGAGATGTTGGACAAGATTCGGTTACGTGGTATGATACGCGGCTTGACAAGTATGGATGCGTATTGACAAGCTACAGGTAGGGTTGCAGCGCGATTTGCACTATTGCTACTACGGACCACCATTTTGGCATGCTCGTACGAGTATGCCCAGGCAAACACAATGCTATTCTGATGCATATACGCTTGAATGCCACGTATAAAAGTCAAGTACCAATACTCTACAGACAGGATTCGCCGTCTTCCTGCGCTGATCGCTGAGTAGTAGCAGTACATACATTCGAATCTCTGCATCAATTGCCGATGACTATGGCCGGACAAAACGAGGCTACCAACCATGCCTATCACCACGGGGGAGAGCCAAATTAGCCGATCGACATTACTGGGACGTAGCATGATGTCGGTCAAGACAATCAGCATTGACAAAACGCAAAGAGCCGTCACAAGACCGGAAGCTTTGTCTCCAACGCTGCAGAAACGGCCCCCAAAAAACGGCCATCGCTCAAGTTCGCCGCCTGCGCGTTATTATGGCCACCCCCTCCCCCTCCCTCTCCCTCGCCTCTCCTTGTCTCTCGTTTTTCAGAATGTACTGGCGGTACTTCCTACGGTACCTGACTCTGGGCCACTTCCACATCTGTACATGAGAATCGCCGCTGCAACACTGTCTGGCTAGCGAGCCTGCGAGTCTCAGTCTCGTCCAATCCTGGTTTGGATACTACGACAGCAACATTGGATCTACTTTATTAGCTGCATGCGGGAGATGGGAGCTAGGCTGGCCTTCCGGCTCTCCGGTCTCTGCTTGCAGGGAAGAAAGAAGCAGGGCATGAGGCATGTACACGATTAACGCGCAAGAGTAGGTACAGTACTCGCACTTACTGGAGGTATGTACTGTACGAGCAGTACTGCATATCAGCCAGAATAGGCATTACTCTGGATCATGTACTTCATATTTGTATCTTTCTGAGAACTTCGACACGCTTCGCGTCATCAACGCATGCATTGCATATGGCGGTCTGGCTCATGCTGTTTAGGCGCCAAGACTGTCAAAATCTCGCCGAAGAAACATTGACATGCTACGCTATGAGTTGCTATCGTTACCCAGTACAGCTGAGACGATTGTCTATTGACGCCAGTACGCGCAGCTATGTACCTATTCTTCCTTTGACGTCGGGTAACTTTCCAAACAAGAGGACTGTCCAGTGTGTGGCGCGCAATCTATTTCCGATACTGCCCAGACGGATTCAAGCGGAGATGGGAGGTCGTTATGCACACCCATGTACATGCTTGACGCACGCTTGCTCCGCGGCGACTGAGACTCGTGGGGGTTGTCAACTCGAGATCTAGTACTCGTACAGTATCTGTCTATACCTGTGCCTGGGGCAAAACAACAGCTGCAAGTCCTGCAATGAACAGGAGATGGCTTCTCTCCATCGAACCTTGGCAGCAGTATGCGCATTCCCAACATGAACCCTGCTTTTTTTCCATTCATCTAATACAGGTATGCATACAGTTACAGACCTAGTCTTCTGTAGGAAGCGGCTTTAGTTGACCAGCTGGGTTAGATGATAGGTCATCCTCGCCTCATAAGTTCTGATACTCGTCCAGGCACTCTATACTCAAAGTGTAAAGCACACGTCAAATGGTAGCTCCAGATACTACCGAATGCGACAATGGCCTGACACGCCCCCGCTTCAGCTATTTGTCCCTTAGATAGCGGTGAGTCGGTGAGCTTCCAGAAGCGAACTGCATACGACGTGATTCTCGGGAACCCATTCGCCGCATGTAAGCTGGCAGTTTCAACGACGGCTCCGACCGATATGATTAGGTAACATCTTCGAAGGAATGAGTTGGTGGCCTTGATAACTATCTATACGCAGTTTAAAAACTCCCGCTTCGAGCTAGCATTTGTTACAATCTGCCGCTGTACCTGCTTTCCCTACGCGGCTCCCGCTCGTACAAACATTAAACGTGTGCAGATACAATGCGCTCCATGAGTTCATCTCACAACGCAATAGGCAGATGGAGTTTCTCGGTATGGAGTACGGAGTGTGTGTATAACCTACTGCGCTGGGAACACATGCGTTTTGCTCACATCAATGTACGGAGTACAGGAAAAGAAGATAATCGGCACGTATAGGGCACTCCGAACTACAAGCTCCGCAGAGGTACTGTACAGAGTACACAGAGAGAGTTGGGGTGGACACAAGTGGGGAGGAGATCTTCCACTTGTGCCCCAATAACCAGCCCCTATCCAAGGGGTCTGTCAGAGCCAACAGGGGGTTCGAGAGCCACCACAGGCAGATTGCTATGGGTATGGAATCCCCTTCCAGCCAAACTCCTGGTAAATCTGCATCCCCTGTCGGACAACAAACGACCTGGACACATCGGGTTACATCCTCTGCAACATGCCCACTGCAACCCATCAAAGACATCCCTTCTTGCATCCGAAACTCCCTGCTAATCTTCGTGGGGAGGTAAGACGGCCAACACGGCTGCAGCCGCGTGTATGTCATCGTGACCAGGGCATCATTCGCCACGGTACAGTGGAGAGAAGCGTGCGCTCTCGCCGTAACGAGTTAGCCTGCTGGTAGCACGAGCTACCTGTACGGACGAAGAATACGTTTTTCCCAAGACTAACGGAGTCGACTTTACTCCGTTACCGAGGCCCAAAGGAGTACTCATGCTTTGAATTCTGATAGGGTAGAGTACTTGTACAGCTGCGCATATTCCGTACAAGGGGACAAGTTAGGAAACGATAGCTGTGACTACGTCCACTACTACAGGACTTACAACTCAAGTGGTGAAAAGTCAACCAGAAAGAAAGAAATACAAGTGCCAGGAGCGTCTAAGTGAGTGGGTAAAAAAACTAATTTAGTGTACGTTCAGACCCTTTTATTCTTTTTTTTTTCTTTAGCGGCATTCGATAGCTCAAGCACTAATAGCCACATATAGATGCTATGATTGCATTTAATTGCTATGCACGGACAAGCAAACGCAACGGCCCGCCGATCACCATTACTCATGCTCAAGTACACATGACATTTGAAGTCTAGAGCATTGCGAAAAGTTTTGGCGTCATGAAATGGCTTACACTAAGTAACGCCTACTCACTAGCAGCAATATCAAACTCAAAAGGCTTTCAATCTCCCCCTCTTCTAAAGAATGCGTTCCACAAAGGTAACTAGAACAGGTTTCGCGCCAACATGCCGCGAGGTTCATTGGTCCGGTTCTTTTCTCACAAAGTGAGATGTGAATGAAGGGGGTGGGGGCTGTTATGCCCGGCTGTACATGGGGAAATTTGATATGAGCGCGATGGCAGGAAAAAAACCCGCAGGCACAACAGGAATTGTTTAAGGTTTGGAGTTGTTAACTCGCGTGATTGGTAATGCTATGAGAGGGAGGACCTTTTGAAAGAGGGGCTGGTATACGAATACAAGTACGGAAAACGAGGTAGGGGAGCGGATTGCCTTGAATTTTCTGACGCCTCTGTGCTAACATTGTCGAGTTGCCAGTACGCCTTGTAAGCTATCTAGGTGCTACGAGGAAAGAGGCAGCGCAGACTGGAACTGATATCTCTCGGCCGGCGATACCTCGAGGCTGACATGGAAGCAACGACAGGCTGGGATAGGCACAGGGCAGGGGAAGGACCGGCGTGTTCCGGGGACAGCGCTTGGTCTCTGTCTCTCTGCTGCCGAGCGTCGCATTTACCTAGACAGGCAATCAGGGGATTCCTTGTCCTAGTGCTGTCTTTCTACAAGTATGGCTTATTGACAGTACAGTCTACACTAGCACTCGTACTCGCACGTACTTGCAAGAGTATCATGTGAGAGTTACGGAATTCGAGGTGCTAAGGACGGAGTAGTACAAGTACGATGCTGCCTGGTGTAAGCCGCAGCACCCTATTTCGTACAGTACTGTACGTATCCAACGCCGACATGCTCCGTTGAGAGTGGTGCTGTTTTTGTCCACATGCTCTGGCTATTCTAGACTTGTTCTTCACTTGCCTTCTACTGCCAAGCTAGGCAGTAAAAGCGTGGGTCGATGCTAACGGATGTGCATATTATTAGACTGCCAACCACGGAAAGTCAGGGGTGAGAAAGCTGGGAGCTAGTGCCGGGGAGCAGCAGAGGCACTCCTAGTGCTGGTAGCAAAGCAAACCGCCACGACGCGCCCCGGGAACGCAGACAAGAAACAAGAAGCCGAGCAAAAAGAAGCGCGACATGTACAAGTACCGGTACGTTGAATGAACTGCTCATATTAAGGGGGTGTGGGTGGCTGGCGGGTGGAGAAGTGAAGACAGGAAAAGGGGCGCGGGGGGCCTGGAAGGATTTTTCAGACTTGGATTAGGGGGTAGGGGGGTTGTGGACAAGGAATAGGGGGGTTGGTGCTTGGAGGGCCATGGGCCTGAGCGGGCGTCACAAGTACCCTCTACAATCATACGAGCTGGAGTCCCCTCACGGCTTCGGAGCAAACGGCGGAGGCACAGCGTGCGAAGTGGACTCCAGCGAGGTATGAGATACTTGTCCCAGCGTGGAAAACCAACGACGAGCTACGTGGGGTGTGCAGGCGTCGTGCCAGTCCTAGTACTCGGTACCTGCTTGACAGCTGGGATCGAGAGCAGAGCAATCCAGGGTGCCTTGCCGCGGCAGCTTACAGCTACAGCTACAGTATATGTTTGAGATTTCTGTTGTTGCCAAAAGAGATATCGAGGCGATGGATTGGGTCAGTGGTGACATTCCGACGGAGGGGGGGAGGGAGGGGGGGGGAAAAGAGAGAGGAAGAGAGCGAGCGAGCGAAAAAAGAGAAGAGTTAAGAAAATTTGGGGGCTGGGAAAGCAAACACCGGCGGAAAAGAAAAGAAAAAAGAGGAAAAAGGAAAAGAAACCCCGAGAGGTCACTCAGACAGACTCGGTTAGAGGATAAACGCGGTTATACAGAAAAAGTAAAGGCAACGAGAGAGCGCGAGAAAAGGACGCCATGATAGAGCCATTTCCAGTAGTGCTCTGTGGAAGGCGGAGCTTGCAGACCCCGTAACGGGACACTAGCGGTGACATGTGGTGTCTGGTAGTGGCTACACGAGCTGAAGAGGGGATTGATGTGATGTTGCTGCTCTCGCGGTGGACGAGTCTGGCAGCGATGCGCGGCTTAGGAACCCGGGATGATATCATGGACGGTGCTGTAAGTGTAAGTCTGTATACATGAAGCACCCATTATGTCGGATGTACTGCCAACAGCTAACATGATACAGTAAGCTAACTACTCTGTGTCGTCCTATATACCGCCTAGCAGTACCAAGAAGCCGAGCACAGTATCTGAATGTAGCAAATACCAGCTGATTCCGCCTCGGACATTTGACATTCGGAGGGTTTCCTGGCCAGCAGCAGCTGTTTCGGCGCTATAAAGATACCGCGATATCAGATACCTACTACCTATTACTGCATGCTCGAGGAAACAATAAAAGGTACTAACTACCAGGTACCAAGGTACTACTGCCTTGTTTGGTCATGTCCAGGAAACGTCTCGACTAAGGTACCTGAAAGACTGGACTGACGCTCTACACCAGCTGGAGTTTCCAAATGTTTGTCTAGTGAGACCGGTTGTGGTAGGTCCGCTTATAGAGAGGTATACTAAGTCCTACCAAGCGCAGCTGAGAAAAACTCTCGCCGTGGCACGCGGTTCTTTTTAGATGCACAAATCAGGCGATTCAAGTCCCAGAGTAGAAAGGATGTACCGTTGCTACAGTACAATCCAATCTAGTCCAGTACAAAGCATTAGGTACTGCTTACGCATTTTTCACGTTCAAGCTAAAGGACGACTCTATTACTGTAATTGTAAATGATCTATTGATGATTAGTAGCTGTTGTACTGGCTGTATTTGGAGCGGCATTGGCCTGGGATATTTTTGGCTGTGCTTTTTTGCGTTGCTTTGCAAGGGCATCACCTTCGTATTAGAGTTTGGCGCAAGAATAGCGCTGCGAAAACAAAGGAACATACATGAGAAATAAACCAAAAGAAAAGAAAGAATACATGACACGTCTCGTGCTGTGCTGCGGCCAACAAACAGCATGGGAACTTCTGATGGAGGGGGCGTGGTGTGGATGGTTGAGTTTGATGGTACATCTTACCACTGCAGGAAGTAGTGGCTATAGGTCATAAAACACAAAAAGTGATTTGCAGCCAACCAGCGAAATCTGTAGCATTTGGAGAAAACGTGGAGAGCATGCAGAGGACAGAGCACATTGCTAGTATTTCCACACGCACTGAGAAGATGTGATTGATCCGTTTCATTCTTCTGGTCGGTCATCTCAACACATCATACATGTGCTTCACATCCTACCCTAAAGCATGTACGACATCTCAAATTTGGATAAACCATACAGATGGTTCTCCGCACCCAGACGTCACCATATCCATCTATCCAGTGTCAAGTAAATAGTCTCCCCGGTCTAAAAAACAAAGTACATACTCGTTAATCTGAGATACACGAGCGCAGCCCGTAACGAAAGCACCTGCTTGTACAAGTATCCTCCTTTCCCAACCCCTGGCCTCAATTCTCCAGGATAGTAAACGAAAGGGGTGGTAGCACCAACGAACAAGCACAAGCATAAGACCTTGTTTACTTACAGCAAAAAAAAAAAAAAAAAACCCATAATCGCAACACAAACCATATCCAACGCAGGGCCCAGGGGCCGACAATCTCACAAAATCTTTCTGCAAGGGCTACACATGGCGAGGGGGGAAGATGGTTGTGTGGTAGGAATGGGGTTTGTGTATGTACAAGGTGCTACTACAAGAGAAATACTACCCTCAAGCAGGAAGATGTCCGTAATAGCCTGTAGACAAAAGTCGTTACATTTTCCGTTTGCCTACTCTCCGAAGCTGCTGGCTGCTATGCCAAGTATTCGCAAAGCACCAAAGGGAAACGAGCACATACATGCCAGTCTATTGAGAGCTGTCCGAAATTTTATGATCCTTGTCGCTCCTCTCATGTTCGCCGACCAGTCTATATTCACGTGTTAAGATACTCAAGGAGGGTATGAAATAGGAACGTGGGAATAGAGATGGGTTTTGGCGATGGCGATGGCGAAGGCGATGGAACTAGAAACCGTTATCGAGTGTTGAGTAAGTTGTCAACTGCCACGAGACTTTGAAGAATAACGTTCTGGAATTGATTGCGGGATAGACGTAGATGGCGAGCTACGCGTAATTGAAGACCGAGGAAGAAACACTCCTAGTTGCTGTATTCAGGTGATACCGAGAGTCATAAATATTCATTGAAATGGACGTGGATAGATGAGACGATACTTGAATATCATGATGGCATGGATCGTTCAGTGTACCACCAGAGCAGTTGTCCAAAATGAACCTCTAAGCATCTCTAAAACAGTCACCGAGGGTCCAATTCTGGAATCGAAATGCAAAGGAAAAACCAGCCCAAGCTTTTATTCCTATTCATCCCCAAATAATATGAAAACAGAAATGTCATCCAACAGTTTTGACAATACCATTTCGGTATGAAAAGGGAGTAAGAGAAAAGAGAAGACAAAAAAAAAGGGGGGGGATAAGTAGATCTCGCTTTGCCATCATTCATTCATTGACACATACCCATTCACCAAATCGCCATTGTACATTCGTCCAAAATATCCTTTCAACCTCGCCAGCATATAAAAGAGAAAAGCAACGATATAATAGACGCCAAAGGGGAGAAAGAGAAAAAAGAAAAAATCCCCATAGATAACGTCAAGTCTCTTCAGCTAGGAGAAGTAAGAGGAAAGAGGAAAGAGGAAAGAAAAGAGGCTGCTCAAGAAACAACATCTCTCTCTGCAAGGCCATGGCCCATCATACACGCATACACACCCAGTTGATATGAAGTGGTAAAGAAAGGGAATGGAAGAAAAAAAAAAAGGAAGAAAAGGCAGAGAGTAAAAACGCGCAGGCTGTGAATGCTTTTATCGAACTTCATCGTACCATCTTTACACCTCTCGGTGAGCCCTGTGGTGGTGATGGTGCTCTACGTCTCTTGCCCTGGAGTCGTATTCTTCTTCATCATCGCGCCTGTGTCGACGCCGCCTCTCGCGGTCACGGTCACGGTCGTGGTCATGATCGCGCTCACGAGCATCGGCGCCTTCCGCTTCATCTCGATGACGGCGATGGCGATGGCTTCCTCGCCGCCCTCTATCGTCTTCATACTCACGCTCGTAATCGCGGTCATATTCTCGACTGTAGTCTTTATCGTATTCTTTCTCATCATATTCACGGTCGTACTCCCGACCATGGTGCTCTCGATCACGGTCGCTTCGATCACGATCACTGTCTTCATATTCGCCGGTATAGTCCTTGTTTCGCCGCCGCTCTGTTTCCTGTGTTAGTCAAGATTTACAGCATCACAAGGGAGTGTCATGATGGTGGCATCGTATTGGGTCGTCTTACCTCGCAAGACTTGCGTGGCATTAGCATAAGTCTGAATCTCCTCCTTGCTCAAGACTCGAAGCACAATAACAAAGTCATCGCGGATTTCATATCTCTCCTTGCCAATGTCCAGAGCCTCTGGGTTGACAATCTTGCGGTTGATCTTGGTCCATCGGGCACCCGACGGGACTTCTTTCAGCTTTTTATCTTCCTTGTGCGGTGCTACGCCTTCACGGATTGGATTGGGCTCCTCCGGGAACTTGGCGCTTGGCTGCTTGAGGATGCCCTTGAGAGGCTTGTCCTCTTTCTTCTCATGCGGTGGCGAGACAACACGAACCTGCTTTTCGTCTGGAGAACGGACGACAACAAGGTCGCGGCCGCGATTTTCTTCTCCAGAAGGCGACTCAGAGCGTCGATCATCCTTCGCAGGAGGAGATGACCGGCCTTTACCATTGGGCTCAGCCTTCTCCTTCTCACTATCGGCAAGCTGTTCCCGGATTTGACGCAAATCTCCAGTGTCGTAGGGATTGAAGCTATGAGAGGGGCGATGTCTGCGAGCCGACTTCTTCCTTCCTTCATCGGAATCCGAAGACACAATCGCTGCCGAGTCGCCATTAGACTTGGCTTCAGCGTCTCGCCTGCTTCGATCTTTAGTCTCCGCGTCGACCTTTGCATCGGCCTTTGCATCGGCCTTTGCATCGGCCTTTGCATCATCAGCCTTGGCGACTGGACGGTCCTTGTCTTCATCGCGCCTTTTCTCTCGCTCCCGCTCCCGCTCCCTTTCTCTGTCCCTCTCTCTGTCCCTCTCTCTGTCCCTCTCTCGCTCACGGTCGCGCTCACGGTCGCGCTCCTCAGCCTCGTCAGAGTCTCGGCGTCTCCGCGACTCACTTGGCTCGGGCTTCTCTTCCTTCTTGCTGCTTGACGAGATGGCACCAGCTACGGCAGCAGTAGCCGCAGCTCCTGCCCCAAGTCCAGCGGCAACCTTGTCTCGGGCTCGAGATCGGTCACTGTCTTCTGAATCCCCATCCCTTCGCCCATCCAGTCTCTCGCGTAGGTGGCTGTCCTTGTAGCCTCGGTAATAATCTTCCCTTTCACGGTCAGATACTCTCTCTTCATCGGAGTGAGACCTCTGTCCTTCCTTGGTGGGAGCCTCTATCCTCCTCCTAGAGTGGTCTCTCCTAGCCGAGCCTTCCCTCCCTTGATCGTCTCTTGGATCCCAGTAGCGGTCATGGTGGTCTTGAAGGTCGTCTGTTTGAGCCGCCCGGAGACCAAAGCCTCGAGCAGTGACACTGTCATCGTAGAATCGCCGTGGGTCATACTCATCATCCTCATAGCCTCTGTAATAGTCTTCGGGACGGGATCCTGACTCCTGGATGAGTGACACAGGACGCGGGCGTCCGGCAGTACGACGATCAGTAGAAACCCCAGCCGTATCCAGCTGCCCAGAGGAGCTGGAGTTGGGAGGAGCCGGAGCAAGTGGCGGAATGTCATATGCTCGGTTGATCTTGTCAAATCCACGGACTGAGGGTGGGGGGCCACCTCGGCTGTCATATGGTCGGCTTGTGCGACCAGGATCCATTGTCGTGTTGACGTTGAAGCTTCTCTGATCCGCGTTATAGTTGATGTTGGGCCGAGAATATCCCCTGTCAAAGCTTTCATGCCTGCGTGAATGGCGGGGAGCAGGGGCGACGCCATGGTCCAAGTCATATCGAACCAGCTCGCCGGCGTTTGTGTACTGATATCCCTCATCCCCGTAGTCTATGGCGGCATTGCTGTGCCGAGAGTTGCTAGGATACACAACATGAGGGCGGGAGCTGCGATAGGCATCAGCATCACGGCTGGCCAGCACGATTTCGCCCTGCTCTCGAGAACGACCAAAGTCGTCACTGTTCGTGGAGGTATGGTATGGTCGAGCGGTGCTCCTGGATCTTATAGACGACGCTGGCTGCGAATAGAGTCTCCCTTCGCTTGCTCGATACGCATCTCGGATGGGGCTTCCTGCGTGGACGAGAGCGTCGGAAGTGTGGGCAGAGGAGGTGTGCGGACGGTGGGGATCTTGCATTGTCGTGACGATGATGGGCGGTCGGGCAGACGCATCGACGGTGTTCGAGCGCCGGTTGCGGCTCTGTTCACGAGGGGGCGGCGGTCTGGGGGCGCGCGGCTCTGGGTTCACGGTAGAATACGATCGCGGCGGCGGCACGACAGCGCCTGCGGCAGCTGCAGCTGTTGTGTAGCCTCTGGGGGTGGCGGCGGCAGCAGCGTATCTGGTAGGCGAAGCGACGTAATCTGGATCGTTGGCATATAAGGCTCCATATCCGCCCACCGAGGGCAGAGAGATGCGCGCCGGGCTGTTGAATGTGGCGGACCGGCCAGCCGTAGGATAACGATAGGATCGGTCAGTCATGGTGCCAGCACTGAAGGAGACTGAGAAACAAGGAGTCGTCGTCGCCTAATTAATGCTAGATTGGGAGATATCCAGAGATGTGGAAAAGCGTAGGCCTAGACCTGAGCAGCAGAATGCACAAGATGCACGCCGTTTGGGCTGCGTCACAGGAGGCCAAAGTCTGTTTTCGTAGTCAGCCGAGCAATGGACAGACCGGGCTGGCAGAGAATGAGGGGTCGTCGTCGAAGTCGTCAGATAATGATTACGGTGGGAGGAATATAGGTATATAAGAGAATATGATCGCGGGGTTCCTAGTCAGCCTAATAATGAGCTTCTCGGCCGCTCTTTGACAGACTGTCCCATCAGCCGGGGTTCGACGTTACATATATGAGAGGTGCATACAGTACACGCCGAGAGCAGGGAAGAGAGGGAAAAAAAAATTTACCTGGTGTGCAAAGACCCGAACCATGCAGCGCAGGGTCCAGAAAAAGAAGGGTTTGCTTCGTGGGAAAAGACTTGGTTGGCCGCAAGGGAGGGGACAAACGGTTAATGAGGTTAAAAACGGTCTGGGGTCATGACGACTTTGGGAGCAGCGGCCAGGGGTACGATGTTGTGGACAGTTAGTGGGCAGAGGCCCCCGTAGAGTTGGCGCTAGGAGCTTCCAGCAACCACTGGGGAGAGTTGCAGAGCTGTAAGATAGCGGGCTGCCGATGCTGAGTGCTCGTGTAAATCACAGCAAGATGCCCGTTCAACGTCTGCTGGTTCCTATTCTTAGCGGCGCAGGGCGCTCTAGTGGCCGTGCGGTAGTTGCCCGCCAGCGCCCGTCGCGGTGGCTTCAGCTGATGAGAGCTGATGCTGGAGCCTCCCGCTGCCGTCTGGTTCCTTGTGGCATCAGAGTTCAATGCGTTCCCGGACAGCCACGGCGCGATGGCGAATTACGGCTCTGACGACGACTGGATGGGTGGTTGAGGCTAACGAAGTCGTCCGAGCTACTGAAACTCAGGCCCCGGACGTTCGGATCGCTGCGTCGACTCAACCGTTGTCCAGGAAGTGGAAACCAACGGAACGGACCCAGTTGTGAGTCCCCTTGGGCATGAATGTTTCTAATTTGCTTCGTCCATTTTCTTTTTTTCTCCCACTCAAACTAGCAGACGAAATCTGCTGTGCTTCGTAATCCTCCTGCTGCTCCGGGGACTTGTAATTGGGGGTTCTGGGCATCCATCGAATCCTTGGGCGCAGAACTAAGCTGGCACGCTGGAATAGCCTCGCTTGGAGTCTTGGGGAAAAAATACGATAATGACGTCGCGATTCGTTATCGCCACCACGCCATTGTCAGAACTAGCAGCCGGCCACACGCCTCTGGTTGCCTTTTTTATCTTTTCACTCTTTTTATCTTTTTTTTTCTTGAGATCCGCTTGGTGCCTTACCGAGGGCCTGTGCACTGTTGTTCTAATCTTGTTGAGCAGAGTTTGAGCTGAGCGTGGTTGAGTCTCCGTTTTTCTGTTGGATGGAGTTGGCCGCTTGTTTAGTTGATTACCCAGGCAGGTTCCCGTATATGCTCGCTTGACAGTTAGCCAGGAACAGCTGGATACACTAATGCTGGCACTCCATGTGTCCAGCATTCACCTCGTGTTGTGGTCTCTTGGTTCCATCTCGTCTGTTCAGCCAAGCCGATGTCGCCGTGCCAGATTTGCAAATCCGTAACGAGATCACATGCGGCAGATCTACTTCCATTGATCCCGGGAGATCATGCATCCAAGCGGCTGCTACGGCTTTTTTCTTTCAAACAACTAGCAAACCTTGCTCCACCGGTGTCTGCAAATAAAATTTCACCGGGACTTCTTCTGAAAGCCTCGTTTCTGACTTGAAAGCAGTGGCACGCCGTCTGATTGATGGACTGATAGCACCTTGGGGGCCTTTCTCTGGCCGTGCTATTCCATTCTCGAGAGCTAACCTTTGGGTGGATCTGTGCTTAAAGACTCAATCCCGAGATTGGGCTGCTATGCTCTCGTGCCCAATACGACCAGGGCCTGAGCAGACCTCGGTCGATTTCTCGGGGAGAGCTTCAATGCTCTACTTGACCCCAGATTACAGCCGCGTGTGAAGAACTGACTCCCTTGTATTGTCGAGTGATCGTCGCCCTTTCGAGCTTGAAGTGATAAAATTCAGGCTTCTATAGTTGGAAACGGTGGATGACTGAATTTTAGCTTACAATGACTCTTACAGATGCAACAATGGGGGGCCAATGTGCCAATGTATCAGCCTGATATCGTGCTGGCGCTATATATGCCTCCATATATCATATATACGGAGTGTACATGTATGTTTATATCATCACTGTTCCCTGCCCACATGCAGTGTCAAAACCGGCACTTGACATTGAGTTCTTCCCGTCTGACACGTGCATATAGGTACTAGGTATATGACATATGCCATGCATAGGCAAGAAATACATGTACATGCTCTTCCCGTAGTACGCACACCCGTATGTACGAGTATTAACGCTTCGTACTCCATACGCACGCAGAGAAAAGTGCTTGCATTCCCGCTGCATGCTTGTACATACAAGCTACATTTGTAGGCTTCAAATCCTGACATCAAATACGGAGCAACAGCCAGCCGGGCGCTCGCATGTGGAACCGATGAAGAAAAATTAGCACGGGCACTGCGCTTCTTGTTTCCATCACTCCGCAGGCAAAAAGGACAGTTGGTCTCTGAGGATTTCCAGAGCTTTGGTAGCATCGACTTCGAAAAGCCCACTCGGTGAGTCCCACATGCCGGATCCCTGGTCCCATGAAGCCCAATGTAGCTACCACCAGGCTGCTAGTATTTCCCGGCTAAGAACAAGCGTTGTGTTGGGCATATATGACAAGGGGGGAAGGATAGCTGCATGTTATTCCAGAAGCGTGAAACGCTGAGCCGTCATGGTTGCGTTGGAGCCGTATCGGGGCCAATCGCCGAGTTGCGAGCTATTGTGAGAACTGACTTATTTACCTCTCTTCTCTTGTGTGCCATGAGTATAGCTGCTTACTTGGAAACGATTCATATCTCTACATGCAAATAGACTTTCATTATCAGGGATTTCGAAACGACGAGAGCAGAATGATTGAGGCTGACTCATGCAGCATGTGTGCCATAAGCATAGCTGTATCATTGGGAACGATTCATATCTCTACATGTAAATAGACTTTCTTTGAGGAGATATGAAACAAGGAGAGCAGAAGGATTGAGGCTGACTCATGCGGTAGATTGGCTGCAGTGTGGTTGAACAAGCATGCACGTGGCTTACTTGAGTTTGATCCTCGTTTCAACGCCGGAACATATCATATCAAACATGTATGAAGCTTATTGATGACCTAAAACCTTGATGTCTAAACAGCTCGTATGATCAAGAGCAATAGTTTGACGTACATGAACATGAAGCATTCTAAAGATTGTGATTTGAGTCAATAGAAAGAAAGACTACTGGACTTCAAGCCATAGGTGATTCTCATCTTGTCTGATCCCTTAAACCCAACAACTTCGTGATACGCATCATGTATTCATTCTAAGCCAACGAGCCCATGGGATCCCACAGCGGAAGCACAATAGGCTCCTGCTTCAACACATCCCTCACCTCCTTGCCCAGATATCTCGGGTCCACCACAGCCTGATACACAAACTCGTCCATCCACGCATCGCTCATCACAAACCACCCCTTCTCACCCGCCGCCGTGCCCCAGCTATTCTGCACCCTCCACCGCACAGGCCTGCCGGACTTCTCATCCAAATGCACCGCCGTCAGCACCATCGCATGCGTCATGGCGCTCTCGCCCGTCATCAGCCTCTGCGCCTTGTTCATACCCAGCAGGCTGGTGTTGATACCTGCCTCGTAGTCAAACAGCTCCAGGTCCATGATGCCCGCCGTGCGATCGCTAAACTTGCCCACGTCGCAGCCGAAGAAGACGGGCACGCCTGCCTTGAGCAGCTTGACGCACGTCGACTTGAGCGTGTCCATTTCCACGTTGACGTATGTGACGTCGCGGCCGCCGACAATGTTGCCCAGCCGGGAAACTGTGAGTTTGCGGAGCGGCTCGTGGCGCGGGTCGTGGACGAGCGAGACCATGCTCTGGATGGCGTCGGACGTGACGCGGAATTCGGAGCTGTAGATGTCCTTGGCAAAGGCTCTTGGAGTGGTCTTGACCTGCTGTGCTTTGCCGTCCTTGTCAAGGAACTGCCATGAAAACTCCTCGGTCGGCTTGGGAGGCTGTCCAAGCAGGAGAGTCATGATGAGCGCAATCTCCTTGATCATATGGATCTTGAGCCCGCTAATGACCGAAGCAGAGACAGAATCCCCATTGACCACCTCTCGTAGCTTCAGCGCAAATTCACGAAGCTTCGTCTTGACAATACTGTTCAGCGTGCTCGAGTTCATGGCATTCCAGCTATCCGGATACAGCGCCTGCGGAACAAGCCCATACTTCTCGACCAAATTGTACACCATGTCCCACTGCCCGCCGTCCGAGACGAGATCGCCCAGCAGCCGCTGCACGACGCGGCTCTCAATGTCGTCCTTTGCCGTCTGCACAATCTGCTCGAGGAACCAGTTTGCCTTTTCCAGCTTGTCCCAGTAGAAGAGGTAGGCCTGGGACAGCTCAAACGACGCCAGGTTGTGGCGCTTCATGAGCGCCACGCGGAAGACGTTTGTCGAGGCAAAGAGCCAGCAGCGGCCGCTGGAGCGCTGGTTGGTGATGGGGTCGCCCTCAAAGGGGATCTGGACGTTGAAGACGTGCTGGTTGGCAATCTTGGTTGCTCGTGAGGCGAGCGTTTGCTTTGGGTCAGACGAGCTCAAGGCAGCGTGTGCCAGCCTGGTTGTTTAAGAATTCACGGTTAGCATACATACTGACGATACTTTTTGTAACACTGGACTATGATATTTCACTCATAACTACAACAACTGGATACTCAGTGAGAGCTCACCTATTCTTGGGATCCTTCACCACAGAATCAATCCACACCTCGAGCGATGCCACCGGCAAGCCTTCAGGCTCTCGGACGAGTTGCAGTTCATGACGCCCCTCTGTCTTTTCAACGTCGCTACTGGTCTCGATACGATCCTCTTCTCTTTCCTCTAGTTTAAAGCTTCGAAGGCGCTCCAGTATGAGCTTCTCGCTCTCCGCTGCAGTGATTAGCTTAGACGGCTGGCCACCCATCGTAAAAGTCTCTTAAAAAAAAATTGTTTAATCGTTCCTACTAAATAATACTGCCTTTCTTTGAGAGAAGATGAATTACTGTTTTACTTGCATCAAGATAGGCAAAATAGTATTATGAAACCAAGCCCATCAAGGTGCCGTGAATAGCTTATATGGCGTGGCTTGCATATACATACGCGTGCTCTTTTCTTATCTGCCGCCTTCCCCTCACGCCTTTCCCCTCCCTTCGGGCGTATAAGCAGGCCGCAATCACGAGTTCTACCGTGCTCGTGCTACTGTCCGCCGGCTATATTCCTACTGGTCCTTTTTTTTTTTTTTTTTTTTTTTTTTTTCATGTACCTTATTTACTTCGTGTACTTTACTTATGGATTTTTTTTTTT